ATAGCCTTAATACTTTCCTCAAGACGCACTCGTGGGGAAAGCATTTCCCTAATTATTACTTGTTCAATGGGCAAAAAACAGATTAGCTGGATATAAGACCTCAGCTCAACATTCTTCCCTTGAGAACCTCATCATTCTCGTGTGCAGTGTTACTGGGGAGAAATCTGAAACCAGCCTGATTTCTTTCTTAAATAAGTAACCTGATTTTCTTTCCCTCTGACCGACCAAAGTCTTCCTTCTTTTAAAATCCGATGTGTTTTCTGAAGGTCCCGTAGTTTTGCATGTAAGCCCGTGATCCCTTCTGTACTAGTCAGGGTCCCCCAGAGAGACAGACACAACAGCAGACACTCGGGGCCTGGTGATGTTAGAGAAACTCCCTCATGGGGAGGGCGGTGCCCAGAGCAGTTCACGGTGAAGGGGAACCGGTTTCGCAGGAACCTGCCACCAGGAAATGCAAAGAGGTGCACTGTGTGCACAGCAGATAGACTCTGGGCCTGACTTTGGGCCCCACCTGAGGGCTGCTGGGCCTGGAGCCACTCGAGCCACTCGGGCCACTCGGGCGGTGTCCTGGGCACAGGTCTCTGTTGTCCACAAGAAGAGCCACTTGGTTCCCGGATGCCAGTCTCAAGGTGAATGGACAGAGTCCTTGTCGGGAAGGCTGCCACTCTGCCCGAAGAAGGTAAAGACAAGTGGCTCAGCTGGCCAAGTTGCGTGCTGTCAGTCCCTGCATTTGGGCGTGGAACCAGCTCCTGTGCACTGGCTAAGGGCCTGGCCGTATGGCTAGGTAGAAGGGCGGTGGGAAGTAAGCCGTTCAGGGGATGGCTGTAGGGGGCACGGATGTTTGGAAGTCGTCATGGACGCCCAAGGGTACATTGAAGTAGGCCTTGTCCCTTGTCACCAGAAGAACCTCCTGAGATCAGAAGGCAGTCGGAACCAGCAAGGGCACATCTTGGTGTGCTCGCTTGAGGCGGCCACCTGGGTCCCCGGAGTGAGGGGATGAGGGGGCCGCAGCCACGCAGAGACGATGCGGATCCTAACGAAGTTCTCGTGTTCCCTCTGGGGCACAGCCGGCTTCGGACAGACGCTGGCGGCCCTGGAAGGTTACAAGTGGGTCTGGACAGAGTAGACAGACTCTGGACCGGGCTGGGCCCACTCAGAGGTCGATGCGATGCTCCAAATATTGGGTTGGCCCAAAAGTCTGTTTATGTTTTTTCCATACAATGACACATTTCATGTTTACCAATAACTTTATGGACTTGGCTATTTCGAGGATGTTGACTATATGCTGTGTGATATAATGATTGTTCTCAACGTCTCAATTTAATCGCTATCAACTTCACCCAGTCTGCTCGACCATGGAGCATCATCCACTGAGAAATCTCCAGCATGAAACTTTGCAAACCACTTCTGACTCATTCAATCAGTTACAGCACCTTCTCCACACACAGCACAAATATTTTCTTGTGTTTCAGCTGCGCTTTTACCTTTCTTGAAATAATAAAGCATAATAGGCCAAAAAATGTTGCATATTTTCTTCCATCTTCAATATTAAAATGACTATACAAAAATTCACCAATTTTGATAAAAAATTTTTTTTAATGCACGCTGGTAGGGCAGGTGTCCGACAGAATTAATGAAGTTGTTTCGAATAAAGAGAATTAAGCGCTGTTAGAGCCTTCTTACAGAAAAAAGCAAGTGAACTTTTGGGCCAACCCAATAATACTATTAAAGGACTAAGTCAGAAGATACTGCACCAATTTGGGCCTCTGAATTATGTTTCTTCAGACCTAGAAGTGTATTTTACAGCCCATAGTCTCCGACGGTGCTCTAAGAGATGTCACACGAAATGGACACAGTATGTTGCAAATCATCCTCCGAGCAAGGGTCTAATAGTTGACACAGGTGGTTGGAACCACAGGGGAAGATAAAGGCAGGAAGGGCTGATGCACACGCCTTGCTGGATGTGCGCTCACACTCAGGGGGAAGGGGGCCAAGGGAAGGCCCCACTAGGTAGATTCCTCTACCTTCTGGGGGGGATTTGGAGGAGAAGGATGCTGGAATGACTGTATAGTTCTCGCAACTATACACGAGTATAGTCTCCGTATCGTCTCCATTTTCTGTTTTTTTGAGCTGATGGAGTGAGCGGTGGAGCGCTGTCCCGGTCTTACCGGTGAGGTTGCCGTGCTGACATCGGTGGTCAGAGCTACAGGGAGATTGAGTAAAGAGCCTCCTCCCCAAATTAGGCATCTGTTTAACTGTGGGAGCGCTTGGAATAAAGACCAGGGAATGGCCTGTGAGTCAAGAATCTGGCCCAAAGAGGTCTGGCCTATTATGTCTTTGAAGATTTTATTCGTTCTCGTTTTTAGAGAGGAGGAGGAGGAGGGAAGGCAAAGAGGGAGAGAAACCCCAGGGATACATCAGTTGCCTCTCCCACGCCCCCAAATGAGGATCTGGCCCACAACCCAGGCATGTGCCCTGACTGGGAATTGAACTGCGACCTTTCTGTTCCCAGGCCAACACCCTGAACCACACCAGTGAGGGCTGCTGGCCTTTGTCTTTGGCTTCCACGAAGTAATCTGTGTCACCCCTGACAGAAATGTCTTTGTTTAGATGAGGTCTGAACAGGACAGAAAGACCAACTGTGTGGTGTACGTGGAAGCTGAGTATCTTGTATTATCAGTTGCCCTAGAGACCGAGTTCAGCCATGTGGGCAGTCCATCAATCACACCTACATAATAAAGCCCCATCACACAGAGGTTTTTACATAATGAGAACCTCTGGACACCAGATGAGCTTCCCTGCTTGGCAAGGCTCCATGCACAGTGTCACACACCAGCAATGGGACGGTCACAGCGCCCTCACTCCACAGGAGGGGCCGAAGCGTTGCTTTTACAGCCCTGCAGACTTCGGCCCATTCACTTTTCCCTGTAGCCGACTTTGCCACAAGCCATAGCCATAAGAATAACAGTTCTCAGTGAGTGCAGCGCGGCCTTGTAGAGACTCATCCACACAGAAGGTGGTCTGGGAACCCCTCCAACTTCAAACTGGTGTCAGAAGGCTCGGGGCCTGTGTCCTCAAACCTTGCAGTTTGGCTAACTCTGGGCAATAAATTAGTAAAGAAGAAAAACTCAGAACCTTTGCGCCTTAGTATTTCTAAAAATAACAACAAAAAAGAAAAGCAAGCAAACAAAACTATGTGCCTTATGCAAGTCAGAATTACAATGAATCATCGCTTCACACCCACTAGGAAGGCTGTAATTAAAAAACGTGATTAAGTGCCGCAGAGGATATGGAGAAAGGGGAATCCTCACACATCGTCGGTGGGAATGGACGATGGCACAGCTGCTTTGGAAACCAGTCTGGCAGTCCTGGGGAAACACAGAGTCAACCATAAGGTTGTCCGCATCAGAATGGTCAAACCTGTAGACAACTGTTATAAAAAAAATTTTATTTGAGGATAAGCCTGGAAACAAGATCTCAACACACGGAGATCCCGAGAAATGCCCGTGTGCAGCTGCTGTGTGCGTTTGGAAGTAAGGAACATGAGCTGAAGGTGGGAGAAAGCAAGGTGGGGATTGGGTGGCAGCATAGTTAATAAGATTATGTGTTCTCTTGAGGTCACACTTTAGAAGGAGGGGTCTAAAGAGATCATTTCAAAGGTGTGTAAACCTGGATGCACAGAAACAATAAAGTTTGCTTAAGGCAAAGGTAAGCCTTTTCCTACAGAAGTTGCTGGGGGTGACGCCTGCCCAGTTAGGAAACCATGACCGGATCACCGGGTGAGGTTACTCTCCGCAGAACCCCGTCCCGGCCACCAGATCCAGGGTCTAAACCCAAAATACATGAAAACATACGTCCCCAGAAAAACTTGTATGCGGAGGTTCGCAGAGGCATTATTTATAAAAGCCCCGACGTGGGAACGAACAGCCGAAATGTCCATCAGCTAGTGACTGGATAAATGAAATGCGTTGTATCCACACAGTGGAATCTCATTGGATGATGGAAACAATACAGTGGCGGGTGGCTGGGTTGCTTAGTCCATACACCAAGGTTGAGGCCCAGTCAGGGCACCGCCAAGAATCAACCAATGAAGTCGTACATAAGTGGAACAACAAATCAATGTCTTTCTCCCCCTTCCTCTAAAATTAATAAAAAACATTTTTAAGTCGGTGGATGCCGGCACACGGTACAGCATGGCTGAGCCCTGAGAACACCATGCCGAGGGAATGAAAGAAGGCAGACACAGCAGGCTGTGGCGTGTGCGATCCCACCTCCAGGAAACACCCACAACAAGCAAACCTGCCGAGACAGGAAGAGGGAATGGGTAGGGACTGCCAGCGGGGATAGGATTGGGGGGCAAGGGGGTGTGATGAAATGTTCTAAACTGCGGCGGGCGCGGGGCTGGGGGAGGGGGTTCTGCTCAACTCTTGAGAGCACTCAAGTCCAAGTACTGTGCACTTAAAATCGGGATGTGAATTAGATCTCAAGCTTTTCCTCATATTAATTTAAATCCTGCCTTGGTCAAAACAAAACAAAATAAAACCAAAGCAACTGTGTTCAACGACATCGAGTTATCTGAGTGATTCTGGAAGTGCCACATCCAGGTTTTCCCGTGCCTCCGAGGAGCGACCGCGGGCTGTGACCGTTTACGCCCAGAGACTAGGAAATGGAGGCCGAGGTTTCGTTTTGATGCCAGGCCTTCCAGGCACCGGCGCGGTCCGGTGGCCGCACAGCCCGCCAGGTCGTCCCGCACACAGCCTCCGGCCGGGCAGGCGGGCCCCCGGGTTCGGCGACACCCGGCGACTGGGCGGAACCGCACGACCGGAGCGGGCCCGACGCCCCGACGCGCGGTCGGAGGGTCCGGAAACCAGTTCTCCGCGGTCCTAAGACGCACCCGCGACACGAACCAACGATGTCACCGCGCCCACGCAGTGGCGCTCGGGTGGCGCCGCCGGGGGCAGAGGGGGAGGAAGGGGCGGGCTGAGGGCCCCGAGGGGAGGCTGCAGGGCCCGGCCGGACGCCGGGCACTAGAGACCCGGCCCCGCATCCCCGCGGGTGGCACCGCCCCGCGGCGGTCGCGCCCTCTGCCGGCTCCGCCTCTTCCCCTCGGCCACCGCCCCGCCCGGAACCCAAACGCCGGCTCCTGCTGCGCGGCCGCGCGTGATCGCCTGCGCCGCCGGCCCCCAGGCCCAGGCCCGGCCCGCCGAGCGATGCTGCTGCTCGTGGCCACCTGCGTCGTGGCGTTCGTGCTGCTGCTGTACATGCTGTCCCCGCTCATCAGCCCCAAGCCCCTCGCGCTGCCCGGGGCGCATGTGGTGGTGAGTGGCTCCCCGTGCGCGCGCCCCAGCCCCGGCCGGCTCGGCCGCCCGGAGCCCGCCCCCTGGCCGCGGGGCCGCCACCGCCCCTTCTCCAAAGGAGGGTCACCAGCCTTCATGCACCCCGGCACTGTCCCCGCGGAGGGCCTCGGGGACCCGTCCTGCCCTCCGCGGCTGCTGGCTCTTCCCGGCGGGTGCTCCGGGGGGCTCGCGAGCCGCTCGCCCATCCCAGGCGCATCCCCGGGTGGTGGCTGTTTTTGTCCTCGGTGTTCCCGATGAGTCACCTGAGGAACAGAGAGGCTGAGAAACTTTGTCAAGGACACCGCGGTCGGTGACGGCTCGGGGTGATGAGGCGGGGAACAGAGTCCCAGCCGCGGGGACCGGCCGAGGCGGCCCCGCAGCTGGGAGATGGCTGGTGCGAGGGGCAGACAGCTGTTGCCAAAGGCATCTAGGGAGTGACTCACGGGGGGAAAATTGGTCCGAGGCCAGTGGGCCCGGAGCCCTGGCTGGATGTAGGCGCTGGGACGCTTCTGCCCGGTCTACACTGCTCATCTGTCTCCGAGCTCAGCCTGGGGTCCCAGGGCGGTCCTGTGCCCCCGTGTCAGAGTCAGAGGGATGAGCCCAGCCACCTGGCAGATGCTTTAGGAATGAGGGGATGTGCACGGGCTTGCTTTGTTTCTTCCTGGAGGATCACGTCTTCAAAGGCCCCCTTTCTGCAGGTGTAGCACCTGTCTTCAACCGAGCCAGAACACCTCCCTACCTGCGCCTGGCACCGTGCTGTTGGCGGTGGCTCTGAATGCCGCCTCCCTGAGGCACACTGAGGCCGGAGGTTATGAGTAAAAGGACAGTTGGTTACTAACCAACCCTCCTGGTACCCGAGGTGACACACTTGAGCGTCCCCACTGGGGTGTGATGGGACAGGACGGCCATTCCTTTTAGCGTGCTTGAAATCTGGACAAGCAGGCAAGAGGAGCCAAATGCTGCAGTCACGCTGAACCGGGAAGGTGTCCCGTCCACGCACAGGACAACTTCTGCCGCAAAAGCAGGGCTTTAAAAGTTGGCTTCTGTCACAGCTTATGCTTGCAGAGCGTAACTTGGTAAAAGGTAACGCCAGAAGCAGTGGAGAATTTTGAGTCAGTTGTTGAGGAGAGTGTTTCCCTTGACCTTGACTCTGGTCTTGCCAGCCCCATCAGGCCGCCCGTCGCAGGTGGGTAAGACGGCAGAGGTGCCTGGGATTGACCGGGGTGGGGTTCTTATTTTCACCGAGTTTTCAGACGCCCTTATAAACAATGCGAGGATGATGTGGGTGACTCCCATGGAGTCACTACCTGCCGTCTTTGTTGACGCCATAGGAGGCGTGAAGGTGTGATTGTGTTTCCTGAGATTTGTTCGGGCCAGACCAGGCGGTGTGAGGAGGGGCAGCTGACGTGTAGAGTGCCTGCTTCTGTGGAGGTGTGAATGGACTGGGTCGTAACTGTTTGTTGTTCGTTTCTGTTATCGCCCTGACTACCTTGTGGATGTGTTACAGGGGGTGTGCTTATTTAGATCAGTTGGTTTTTAAAAAGCTGTTTCATTGACCCCAGGACTGGAAAATCAAGTTCTCCTTTCTTGAGGATGGTTGGCAGCAACACTCCCTGCCACGCTCCCCGCCTTTCGCCCTCAGTAGGAGGGTTGGGGAGTGATCAAAGAGTTGGTCCCATCTACACAGTATTTCCAATGAACATAGTAAGAGGGAATGGGAGAGGAAGGAAGTTAATCCTTAGTGTCCCGCATCTGGGCTCGGTTTACCAATGGTCAGGCAACTCCATACCGATTCACCATTTCTCTAAGTCATTGTGCAAATCTCATATTTGCTTGTAGCGTTCAGAATAACACAGCCCAGAGATGGCTAACCCTTAGATGTCTGCTGAGGGTTGGGTGACTTGCCAGGAAGGCTGGTTTCCCGTGAACCGTGACCCAAAAGCTGACGTCTTGCTCTTGTTCTTCTGGAAGAATCTTAGAAGCGATCGGGTGGAGCAGTTCTTTGATGTGCAGACTAGCTCGTTTGGGTGACGCTGTGGTTGGACGTTTATGTAACTCACGAAGTGATCCCCCAGTAATCCCCGTACCCGCCTGGCACCATGCACTGTTACTATGGCAGCATTGACTGTACTCCGTGCGCTGGGCTCTGCATCCCCGTGACTGCTGTGTAACCCCCAGCCTGTACTCCTCAACCCCTTCCCCTTCACACCCATCCACCCAACCCGCCCTCCCCACCGACAACCATAGGTTTATTTTCCCTGTATCTGTGTCTGTTCCTGTTCTGTGTGTTCGTTTATATTGTTCTTCTTAATGTAGTGGTTTAGATTCCACATATGAGTGAAATCATATTGTTTGTCTTTCTCTGACTGGCTTATTTCACTGAGCATAATACCCTCGAGGTCCATCCATGCTGTTGCAAATGGGAAGACTCCCTTCTTTTTTAGGGCTGAGTAATGTTTCATGGCAGACATGCACCACAGCTTTACCCACTTGCCTGTTGATGAGTGCTTAGGACTAATGTATTATTAATTAGCTAGACTAAGGGTACCACTTTCTCTCCAGTGAACTCAGGAAAGTACTTGTAGATGCGCTGTGTACAGCTCAGCGCCAGGGACAGTGACAGATTGCAGCAGAGCCTGGAGAAGTGACAGTAGTTATAGAACTACTTTTTTAAAAAAAAACATCAATGGTTTAGAGAGTGGGAGCATTTAAGAGAGGGAGAGAAACATCAGTGTGTGGTTGCCTCTCGTGTGCTCCCTACTGGGGACCTGGCCTGCAACCCAGGCATGGCCCCTGACTGGGAATTGAACCTGTGACCCTTTGACTCACAGGCCGGAGTTCAGCCACTGAGCCACACCAGCCAGGGCTCAGACCTACCTCTTCTGTTGGCTCTTAGAGCCCGTGATAATCATGTTAAGTACACTTCCCTCAGAAGGGTGACGCCAAGTGCTCAGGAGCCTTTTCGTGTTTTTGCTTCCAGGTCACCGGAGGCTCCAGCGGCATCGGAAAGTGCATCGCTATCGAGTGCTACAAACAGGGAGCGTTCATAACTCTGGTTGCCCGGAACGAGGTGAGTCGGCGCTCACGGCCCGAGAGGCTGCCCAAACGGCCCGGTTTGACGCCAGCACTGGGAGTCTCTGGGTCGAGGCGACATTCCCGAACCACTGGTTGTTTCTGCTGTTATTCAGGACAGTTTCTTGGCCGAAGACAGATCAGCTCCCCTAAAATGTATTTAGTGCCAGCCACCGTTAGGGGACCCTGTAGACGCTGGTGACCTTGAACCAGGAGCGGCCGAGAGGAAGTTGAGTGGCCGGCCGCCTGGCTGGAAGTAGGAGGCTCTGGAGGGCCCTCCCCGCGCCCGAGGTGGGAGGGGATGGCGGAGGTGACACTGAGTCCTGAAGGACGGGCTCAGGACCGGAGGCAGGTCTTCAGGGAAGCCACACGCCAGAGGAATATCACCCTTCCCGGCAACGTGGCAGAACGTGTGTTCTTCTGTGTTCAGTTTACACAAGCTCTGCCATTCTTGTTATTCGGGGTCTGTTGTTTTTTTCAAAGTTGCCTCCGTGGCCCTGCATTTACGGGGTCTCTGGCAAGTCCTCTTGCTCCATGGGGGGCGGGGGAAGTGACCAGGGTGGAACCGTCCGCTGCTGGTGTCCTGTGCCCGGCGCGGCTGGCTTCAGCGGGCACTCAGACAGCTCTGCTGGATGAGGGCATGAGGGGGACGACGGAGGGAATGGGGACGCAGCGTGGCCTCGGTGCTTGGGGACCCGGGCACCCCCACGCGGAGGGAGGGCAGGAACGGGATCACCATCACCGGCGAGCACGGCTCTGTGGGAACCGCTGGCTGTGGGGTGCTTCGGGGCACACGTTTAAATGAGGGTACAGGACTCAGCCTGGACGTCCACATTTTCTTTTTCAAATCAAGAAGGGCAGAATTAGACCTTTTCCTAGATTGGGCTGGTTGGCTCTCCTTGCAGAAAAGCATGAGTGTGGACTCGGCTTCTCCCCAAAGCCTGCCCTGCCCTGAAGCACCCAGTTCTCGGGAACCTTCACCAGCGCCTGAGGTTTGTGAGCCTGAGGAAAACCATGCATCCTTGCCAGTGTCATCTGCTGAGACACTCCACACACAGACTGGCCCAGCCCTGTACACTCAGTGAGAGATTTCAGAGACAGGCGTATCTCAGCCTCCAGCAGATGCAGGAACTTTCCAACGTCCTGAACCTCAGCCACAAACAGATTAAGACCCGGTTCCAGAACCAGAGAATGAAATGTAAGAGGCGGCAGAAGTACAACCGGCCGAAGAATAGCAACCGTTGAACTCAGATGAGCTCAGCAACTAACTACAGAGTACCTGGGCTTCTCTTCCTGTCATCACCAGGCGTGTCTGGTGAATGCTTCTGGAAACCTTCCAGTGTGGGGCAACCAGACCTGCAGTGACCTCTCTTGCAGCAACCATTCCCGGAACAGCCCATCTTGGAACGAACCTTCCTGGAATAGTCGGACCTGGTGCCTCCCAGGCCTAGAACAGCCAGGCCTGGGCCAATCAGGTCTATAGTCATGGAGAGGAATCCCTGCAGCTCCAGATCCAGTTCCAGCAAACTCCCATCGGTGATTTAGAGGTCACCTTGGAAACCGCTGGGGAAAGCTATGATGCAACACTGCAAACCCCTGTGTATTATACCACCCAGCGAACCATGGATCTATTCCCAGATTACTCCATGAATATGCAGCCTGACTCCACAGACATCTAGTCCTGAGCCTTCAGTGTGACAACAGGTGTATTCAGTCTCCATTTGGCAGTGGTCATAGCTCTCCTAGGATTTTTCAGCGTGTCTCTGCCTTCACATTATGCTGCTTCTCATTATGCCAATTTGGAGCGGTGGGGGTGAGGTGCGCAGAGTCTAATGAGAGACTTCCGTAGCCTTGCGGCTAGAGACACGTAAGATATCTCTGACTGTAGATAAATATAATACTATTTTGAATCACTCTGGGGTGTAGAATCTCAAACTCAAGAGTAGAAATGAAAAGTACAAAGATGTGTGATAGAAGATCATTTGTGTTTTCTGGGATTGGGAGGCCTGTTAAAAACCCCAGCTCAGGCGAATGGGTAAGCTGCAATATACTTACCTGATTTCCTCTGCCCCTTTTGCCGTTTTACCACGCACCCCAATTCATTACTCAAGTATTTGTGATAGATGTTCTGTATTCCGCTGTGTCATCAGATTACCAGTTTCGCTGGTTGGTTTATGAGTTTAAATGCAAATAAATAAAACACCTATTTTCCCATTAAAAAAAAAGAAAGAAAGAAAGGCAGAATTAGCGACCTTGTACTTATACGCTGACTTCTCTCCCAGTGTGTTTGCTTTGCGCTGACAGCACCTCACGGGGACGGAAACACAGCTTTGATAGAGAGGTGTTTTGTGAGGGTGAAACAGTGCCCATCTTGGACACGGGGCAGATGGAAAAGGGGGCGGGCGGCCCCGTGTTGTGGGTGCTCACAGGCCCCCTGTGTGGTCCTGGGAGGGGCGGGAGGTGAGGACCCCACGCCTCTGGCATCCGGGAGTCCTTTACTTTGTCACGTGATGTTTTTTAATTCCGATTTGGGCAAAGTCAGGCGGTGTCTCTCTTTATTAGTAGAACAGCGTTATTTTTGTCATAGACGCATTCACGTTTAGGAAACCTCTGTGTCTTTCTGGAGGATGGCCCTCCTTCTTTGTGCGGTTCTGCTGTCGTGATGTATTTGAACTACATCTCTTGTAGAGCAAACTAAGACAGGGTAGGTCGATATTTGTCTCCTTGAACGTGCGTGAAACGAGCAAAATCGAGGCCCTGGAAGAATGGCTGTCACCTGGATAGCTTTGCTTGTCTGAAGAGCATCTTCTAGAGCAGCCAGGCACAGGTTTGCCCCGTCCGCCTAAAGAGTGACTCGCTTTGGGGGCAGAGGAGGAAGATATCGGGCGACCCCTTGGCGTGGAATCGCGTGCACTCTGATTGCATATCCCTGTGGTTGTTCTTGTCTTATATCAACTAAAAAAATCTCAGATCTAACTATGGATTAGACCTGATAGGGCAACCCTCAGCGATTAGTACCGTTGATTGGGAGCTGGCAGTTCATTTATTTTCCTGTTACCTTCCCATGCCACGATCTTAAAAACCTGCCGTCACGAAGCCCTGACGTGTGACACACTCTGTAGCTCCTTTCCTTCAGAGACCGGCCCGTCGCCGTGCGACGGGGGTGCTGCCTTCTGTGTTTCCCAGAATCCAGTGCAGACACTGACCACGGCCTTTGCTCTCCCGTCGAACGGGCAAGCAGACGCACGGCCAGTTGCCAGAACTAACTGTTCTCTCTTGCTTTCAGGACAGGCTGCTGCAAGCCAAGAAGGAAATCGAAAAGCACTCTATCAATGATAAACAGGTAAGATCACCGTCCCCGTGATGCCTTTGCTGTATGCATCGACGCCGTCGCACAAAGGACAGGAAGGGTGACTTCAACTCTGAATGGTTTGTTAAAAGAGACGAGATTTTCCTGATTGTCAGATACCTGTGAGGCTGTTTTTAAGAAGGTGAAATCGTTTTGAATTGTCTGGAACTTCAGGTTATGACGGAAAACACAGACTCGAACGCACACAGATGATCTGACAACAGAATGCTTCACTAGAAAGCTATTTTATTTCAGTTCTTTATTTTAATCCACTTTAGAGCCACACTTAAGGAAAAGGGGGCCTTGAAAAACACTTTTGGGTGATGGAATTGTTTGATAGATGAAATGTTGTATGTATGTACACGTATTGGTACACCATGTGATTTGTTATTACACGCATCGCCCAGCTTAGACACGGGACTGGCCAGGGCCCCAAGGCCCCTCTGCGAGCGCCCCCCCCCCCCGTCAGCTCGCCCTGTGTGTCACCCCTAGAGGGACCCCTCCTAGGTTTTGTGTTGACCCTCTTTTTGCTTTTCTCTATATGAGCCACCTGAGCTACATAATTTATGTATAATTTGTGTATTGTTTATGTAACTTACAATTCTTTTAAATAACACTTGAGATAGAATTTATATGCGATGAACCACACCCATTTAAAGACGTACACACTTGTGAAACCACCGCCGACTTCCAGACACAGAGCATCTCCAGCGCCCCCCAGAGCCGGCCCTCGCCCCTGCAGGCCATCCCTGCCTCCCCTCGCGGCTGCACGTGGTGGTCCACCTGCCTTCTGTCACTTAGATTAGTGGCACAGTGGAGCATTTTTACATTTATTTCTGTGTCCAGCCTTACTGAGGTATAATTGACAAATAATAATTATATGTACTTCAAGTGTCTGACGTGACAATTGAATACACGTTCACACTGTAAAATGATCACCACAGTCAATTCTGTTAACACACCCAGCACCTCGCATAGCTGTGTGTGTGTGTGTGTGTGTGTGTGTGTGTGTGGTGGGAACAGTTAAGACCCACTCTCAGTGTATTTCACGTATACAGTAGGTCGGTATTAGTCATGACAGACCCCGTGTTCTATGTCAGGTCCCGGAACTCGGTCAGCTTGGACCTGGGAGTCTGTGCCCTCTGGCCCACATTTCTCTCGCGTGTGCTCAAAATAGTTTTCTACAAAAACTGGGTAGAAAATTCAGAGTCTGCTCATTGCATTGTCAACAGATTTGCAGCAATGCAGTTGGTGTACCCAGAGTGGGACTCCTTATCTTTTGGAAAGCATTGTCCTTAATTAGAAAAAAATAAACAAAAACTCGTTTCGGAGACCTGTGTGGCTTTGATCGCTCTCGCCCCCTTCTGACAGGTGGTGCTCTGTATATCAGTCGACGTCTCCCAAGACTACAGCCAAGTGGAAAATGTCATAAAACAAGTAAGAGGCTGGGCTACTGAACCCACCTGCCTTTTGGTGTTCCCCCCATTCCGCTGTGTGGCCGGGAACCGGGACATCTTCCTGGCGGGTTCAGTGGTTGTATGGATTTTACGTATTGGCATCGCCTGGCTCCTAAGGAGTCCTCCTTCCTCCCTGTCCTTGTCCACCCCGCTCACCTTTCCCAGGCGCAGGAGAAACTGGGCCCGGTGGACATGCTCGTGAACTGTGCCGGCATGTCGCTTTCAGGGAAGTTTGAAGACCTTGAAGTCGGGACTTTTGAAGTAAGTGAAAATCCGGTTTTTGCTCAGGGGGGCAGCCAATACACACTACAAGCTGAACCAGGCCTGGGGCAGGGGCTTTACGAACGACAAAGATGAAAGTGTTCAGGTTGCGTAGAAGCTTTGGAAGAGTAGACAGGGAGGAGGCTGTGTAAGCTTTTGGTCCCGGTGCCCTGACTGTCCAGCCTCTTAAGGGTTTAGATGGGTCTCTGGACCTGGGTGTCGCCGGGTGTGAAATGGGAATGGACCCTTCGGTCTGGCCCAGGAGACCCTGACGGAACCCTGAGGCAGTACCTGTGAGAGGGAGCTCCGTGAGCCAAGGGACGCTGGGTTTCAGTGTCAAGTGTCCGTATTCCTAACACGGAAAAGCCAAGAAGTTGAGGAACAGACTCCTTATTTAAGAGTTCTGAAGTCAGAATAAAAAGAGCAGGCGTCGTATTTATGGTTACATTTTTACGCAGGCATGCCGTGGAACCTCTCTTGGTCATTTATTTCAGCCCATTCTTCGGAAACGGACATCAGATTGGAAATCTTTTAAGTGCCAAACCCTTTTTTTAGCTGACATTGCACCAGCCCTCTTTTCCCTAATGTTCTCCCGAGCCTTCATCACGGTGCGCCAGCCCGTGCAGGGAAACCACGCCCGCTTTGGAGAAGGAGCCAGCGGCAGCGGCGGTTTACACACCTCGCTTCTGGTGGGCGGTGGGCGAGCCCCGTGGGCTCCGATTCACAGCCAAGTCCAAGTCCAAGTCCAGGTCGGGGGATCCCAGACGTAATACGCGCAGGGTGGTGCCCTGCCTGGGGCTCCAGAGTCTTACGGCTCCTCTATCAACTAGGCAGAAAGACAGACAACCAGTCCACTTCTGTCTGTGCGTGACCCAAGGGGAATTTGGGAGATTATGTCGGTAGCTGCGTGAAGAATCAGTGAGGGGCAGGGAATGGCTATAGCAGCCATCGCAGCAGGAAATGGTGGCAGAGGGACCTCAGAGGTGGCTTCACAAGAGGAGTGTGTGTGTGTGTGTGTGTGTGCGCGCGTGCATGTGCACACGCACACGTGTGTGAGAGAGAGATGACAAGCAGGGACAATCAGCAGACTTTCCCTGACGCAGTGTGGGGGGCAGAGAGGACAGCGGGGTTCCTGGTTGCAGGGTTGCAGTAGGTGCACGCACAGTTGTAAAGCTAGGGCCTTGGGGAGCGGGACGGGTCTGCCTGGGGACGGAGGAGTCGGGGTGGTCTACATTTGTGTGTCCGTGGAAGTCGGGAGGTCGCTGAGTGGAGGGATGTGTTGTGGGGGGTGTCACCGAGAGCAGGGACAGCGGACACTAAGTGCACGGCCCCGGGGGTGGGGGGAGGCCTGTGCGTGGTGTCAGTGACGAGGAGCAGTGCGAAGCAGGTGAGACGGAGGGAGAAGGAAAATCAGCATAATGTGAAGCTTGTAAAACACTTAAAAATGCACAATTCTAATCTTGAAAAAAGCAACAACTGTGCTCTCAAATTTCTATCTCCTGCTCAGTTTCCTTTCCTTCCGTCCCTCCCTTTTTTCCTTCCTTCCTTCTTTCCTTCCTTCCTCCCTCCCTCTCCTCCCCCTCTCTCATTTAAAAATAACACACCAAGCACAACCGATTTCTTGTCCGCACACCAGCACCTTTCCGCCCCTGCGGGCGCCCGTGTGACTCTTTGCTGCTCTCTGTCCCCAGCAGGCACAGCAGAACAAATGTGGACTTTGGCATCAGGCTAGACCAGCTTGACCCCTTAGGTCTAATGGTTTCTGTTCTGATCATTTGGTGGCTGTGTGATCGCAGATAGATCATCCTTTCTCCTCCGGCCCCAGCTCCCATCTCTGTACTGGATAGACAGCCCCCAGAGCTGTGAGGATTAGATAATATAATGTGTGCACGACACCCAGCCCATGTTACTTGCTTAGGAAATACCAGTGTCATGAGCCCTGGCTGGTATAGCTCAGTGGATTGAGCATGGGCCTGTGAAGCAAAGGGTCGCAGGTTTGATTCCTAGTCAGGGCGCATGCCTGGGTTGCAGGTCAGGTCCCCAGTAGGGGGTGTGCAAGAGGCAACCACACACTGATGTTTTTCACCCTCTCTTTCTCCTTCCCTTCCTCTCTCTCTAAAAATAAAATAAATAAACCTAAAAAAATACTAATGTCCTTCCCCTGGTAAACACGCAACCCACAAATACTTGTGAAAGTCTCTCCTGAGTCCAGCGTTGTTCTGGGTCCTGAGGGAGGTGGAGAGCAAGAGAATAAAGTCTGGGCCCTGGTGAGGAGGGCAGAGCCCACAGGAGCAAACAGACAACAGCGTGATTGCAGACTGGGGTATGTGGTGTGGGGAAAGTAAAAGGGGCTCGGCCTGGTGGTGTGGAGGGAGACCCAGCCTGGGGGCTCTGAGACCTGGAGGAGGGGGGCGGCCAGAGAAGAGACCTCAGATGGAAGAGCCTGCAGCTGCGTGGCTGCAGGTGGGAGGAGCTCTGCAAAGCCCAGCAGCCTCCAGCAGGCCCACGTGGCTGCAGCATCCCTGAGGGTGGGTGGAGCAGAGCACAGCCGGGTCTGCTGGGGCCTTGAGGGCCACCCAGAGCAGGATGGAGTTTAGTCTGAAACCTCCCAAGAGGTGTAAGCTGGCAAGGCAGTCGGGCTCTCCTGCTGCGTCAGGGAGACTTCCAGGAGCTCTTGGGGTGGTTGAGGGAAGAAGTGGTGTTGGAAAGTGGATGGGGGTAGAATATTGGGCGACCAAGGAGTGTGGAGTTGCAAGAGTGGGGGACAGGTCAGCGCAGGGGCTCAAGCAGCTGATAGTGGGTGCTGGAAGAGGCCCCGCCCACAGTGAGAACTGGTAACAGTCCTAAAAAGGAAGGACCGTTACCCCCAAGCTTGGGGCCTCCAGTCCAGCCTGACGCTGGGAGACCCTCTCTGCCCACCCTCCTCTGGCTGCCCCCATGGAGGCCTCAGGGACCCGGCACCTCCCGAGGCCCCTCTCCCCTCTGGGGTGCAGTCACTTGCTTTGTTCTAGTCAGACCCAGGGATCCTCAGGGAGCCCTGTTGGAACACACCTCTGGTGCGTGTTCCAAAGCTAAGAGTTCATGTTCGTGCAAAACAAATTCTGTCGCAGTTGCTTTTGTTTGGCCTCTTGTTTTCAGTCTTCATCATACTGAAATTCACGTGCCCATAGAGCGCCTGTGCACCGTTCCCAGCCCACGTCCTCACTGCACAGGGCGGGCTGGGGTGGGGGACGGTGGGAGGAAGCGAGCATACCCTGTGTGAGCCCACAGACAGCCAAGCTCCAGAAACCAGTGCCTGGCATCTTTGGACTCTGCCCCGGGCGCCTCTGCGTCTGCTCCCTGCAATAAGCCCTAGTCACGACCAGCACAACGCTGGGCAGAGTCCGGCGAGGCCTTCCCGTGAATCACAAACCTGGAGGTGAACTTGGGGACCTCCCACGCACTTCCTTCTCTTCATCGTCCTGTATTTTTTTTTAAGATTTTTAAAAAATTTATTTGTAGACAGAGGGGAAGGGAGGGAGAGAGAGGGAGAGAAATGTCAATGTGTGGTTGTCTCTCCTGCACTCCCTACGGGGGACCTGGCCCACAACCCAGGCATGTGCCCTGACTGGGAGCTGACTGGGATGCGAACTGGTGACCCTTTGGTTGGTAGACCGGCGCTCAATCCACTGAGCCACACCAGCCAGGGTCATCGTCCTTTTTGATGCCTTTCTTTGCGGTGTCTTGGAGCTGTGTCTTGGGTTCTCTCCACCTGTGGATATTGAGCTGATTTACATTTTTGGTTGGGATTCCGTTGACTGTAGGTCCACTTAGGGAGAATTGACATCTTAACCATATTGTCTTCTAACCCGTGGAGACGGCCTAGACCTCCCCTTGGTTAGGCTTTCTTTCGTTTCAGCGAAGTTTCGTAGTTATCTCAGCGCACGGGTCTTGCACGTTGCTTTTTGGTATTTCATAGTTTTTGATTCTGGAATGGTATAAATTTTATCTTTTAACATTCCGGTTTCTGGCTGTTCATTGCTCACACAGTGAAGGACAATTGAGTTTTGGATATTGATCTTGCAACCTAGCCAAACTCAATTACAATTCCAGTGTTCTCTGGATTTCCGACTCTGAAGGTCACGTCCCCTGCGACCGTTTTGTGGGTCATGTCGTCTTCCGGACAGCCTTGTTGCTCTGCCGGAACTTCCGGCGGGCACAGTTTTGGGTGGCAGTGTTGAGAACAGGCATTCCTGTCTTGCCCCTGATCTGAGGGAGAGCACACTCAGTCTTGACCATTTACGCAGGCTGGTAGCTGTGGTTTTGTTTTTGTGGTTTTGGTTAATGCCCTTTGTCGAGCAGAAGAAATCCCCTTCTATTTCTAGTTCGACGAAGAGTGTTTGTAAAATAAGGAATGGATGTTGAATTTTGTCCAATGCTTTTTCTGCATCTGTGGGGGTGATCGGACATTAGTTTCCACATGTTAAACCAACCTTGCATTCCCGGGATGCATCCCACTTGGTTGTGCTGTCTTATTTCTATGTTCTTGAGGGATAGTTTCCTTTCTCGTGATGTTATTTTCTCGTTTTGGAATAAGGGGTAATGCCAGCCTCGTGGGATGAGTGGGGGAGTGTTCTCTTCCCACCAGTTTTCTGGAAGAGTTTGTATAGAATTGGTATTGTTCTTTCTTAAATGTTGGGTGGAATTCTTTGTGGGGCGATTTATTTATGCCTTTAATTCTGTTTCTTTAATAAATCGATGGCTACATGGGTATGTTCTTTTTGAGTGGCTTGTGGTACCTGTGTCTTTCAGGGAACTTGTCTCTTTCATCTAAGTCGTTGAATTTGTTGGCACGGTGTTACTCACTGTATTCCGTTATTGTCCTTCTCGTTTCTATCGAGTTTGTAGTGTCACCTCTCTCACTCTGGGGACTGATAATCTGTCCTCGCCCTTTCCCGGCCAGCGTGACTGGACGTTTATCAATTTTATTGATTTTTCTCAATAACCAGCTTTTGGTTTATGATTTTTCTATTGTTTTTTTTTCTGTTTCCTATTTCATTTATTCCCTCTGTTATTTTCATTGTCTCCTTTTTTCTGCTTGCTTCTGTTTTAATTTGCTCTTCTTTTCATAGTTTCTTCAGGTGGAAGCTGAGATCATTGACTGGAGGCCTTTCGCCGTCTCAGCCCCACTGTCACAGAAGGTGTTTCCACTTGCGTTCAGTTAAACTATTTTATAATTTCCCTCATCATTTCTGCTTTGCCACTTGGGTTATTTAAAAGTGTGTTATTTAGTTTCCAAATATTTGAGTGTTTTTTCAGAAATCTTTCTCTTCATTGATTTCCAGTTTCATTCCATTGGGGTCAGCGAACATACTTGGTATGACTTGAATGAATCTTTTCACATTTATTGAGACTCAGTTTAGGGTCCAGAATATGGTCTACCCTGCAGCCTTTCCGTGGGCACCTGAAAAGCGCACCGGTAACATCGTTCAGATCTCCTGTGTCCTTGCTGGTGTTGTGTCTCCTTGTTCTGCCGACTACGGAAAAAGAGATATCGAAATCTCCGATTATAATTGTGAACTTGCCTATCTGACTGTCTTTGCAAACAAACTCTTAGTCGAAACTCTTGTCTTTCAGCCGCGTGCCCCCCACTCCTGCCCCCAGAGGGCCTTGGGTCTCCTGGGGGTTCTGGGCTGCATGCTTTTTAGCTTCTCTACTCCTTGCCTAGCATTCGGCTTTCTGCTGAGCTAGTTATCTGTCACTTGTGCTTCTGTTCCTCAGCTTTCAAACTATCACTGCTGGTATTTTCTTTCCTATTTCCTCTGCTCTTTTGGATGCTTTAAAAAAATATATAGATTTTTACTGAAGTTGTAGTGGAGGGTTCTGAAGGGGCTGAGGGTGACCCTGGGATGCAGTGCGTCATCTCTTTTCAAATACCGTTTTAGAGAATTGTTATTACTAAAACTGTATAACAGTATTAAAAGATGTTTGGGGAGGAGGGAGTGGGAATCCCAGCATCCTAACACAGTCACATAGAATTTTCTGCTTCTTTGTTTTTATGCCTGCGCACGTAGGCTTTTATTTCCTATTTGAAATAGTTACAGTCACAGTGTGAATTCATCATCTGCCCTCGACTTTTTTTAAACGTACAGAGTAACGATTCCCCCCTCCTGATGTTTCTGGTCATTATTTCTAAAAGTGATCTAACATTCTATTGAGTTAACAAGTCACGATGGATTCAAAGTTCCCCCAATGAAGTGTTTGGCTTCACATGGCGGTTGATCTAATATTTTTACAACGCCTTTAACGTAAGTACATTTCAGTGCACGTGGTCTTAGATTTTCAAGTGAAGATGTAAGGTGTTTAAGAATTCCCAGGAAGAGGGGAAAGTATACTGTGGGTACTTAGGTAAGATCTTACCCACTGTAATATAAAAGCCAACACTTACCGAGTACTGACTCTGGGTCAGGGGCTGTGCTAGCACCGGACCTGGGTTCCCTCTTGTAACCCTCGCAGCAGCCCTGTGGGAGAATCCCGTTATGAGAGAATACCGTGTTTCCCGCTGCCCAGGGCTTTCTTGCGGATCGTCACATGGGCAGTAAACGGTAGGGCCGAGGCTCCGAACCACAGTCCAGGCTGTCGGGGCACCGTCCTGGGCTCTCTGCGGTCTGTCTTGAGCTTAGAACTAAAGGGCTGGACCTGTTCGGAAGCTCATTTCTCACACTGCCTTCCCAAAAGTATTACCTGCAGGGAGAAAACGAGTTTGGACCCATTTTCAGCAAAGACGTAGCTGTGGTCACCGTGAGAACGCAAGACCGGATTTCAAATAACAGATCCTGAGCATCGCAGCTCAGTTACAGGGTCCTTTTCTTGTTCGTTTGTTTGTTTGTTCATTGGTTCATTCACTCGTCCATTCAACGAGTCAGCCAAGCTCCCGCCTGGAGAGCAGACCGCATGCCCGGGAGCGTGTGCAGCCTTGTGGCTTTGACCTTCCGCGTGGCCCCTCTGTTCCCTGCAGAAACTGATGAGCGTCAACTACCTGGGCAGCGTGTACGCCAGCCGAGCGGTCATCACCACCATGAAGGAGCGCCGGGTGGGCAGGATCGTCTTCCTGTCCTCCCAGGCGGGGCAGGTGGGACTCTTCGGCTTCACCGCCTACTCCCCGTCCAAGTTCGCCATCAGGGGCTTAGCGGAAGCGCTGCAGATGGAGGTGAGCCCCACACGCGGTTTTCTGCTTCTTCCCGTCAGCACAGCAAACGTTCCCCCTTTCGCTGGTCGCGCCTTCACACACGTCGTTACAAACTACAGATTTGTAAACTTGACATTCGTGAAAGAGCGCTGGCTCCGTGCCCAGCCGCACCTTGCAATTACAACGTTAACATTTTTATTGCATAAAATGATGATAGTTGCGATGAGCAAAATGGCTGTGGGGTTTTTGCTTGCTTAATTGAGTGCACGAAGTACGACTAAGGTCTCCATTCCATCATGGGTCTGATACCGTGTGAGCCTGTGTAGTAAGGTTGACCAGATATTTCATTCTCTAATGGTGTTTCTTGAACAAACAGACCTGCCCTTCTGACTGGCTAATACAGTGAGCGTGTGTTTGAGGGCAGAGCTGAAGCTGTCTCGCTGTGAGCTTTTGGACACGTCATTGAACTTGCTCTCGGTTTACTTCTCTGTAAAATGGGAGGGTTGGACTAAAAAACAATCATTTGATTCTCCTAATACTTACATTCAGTTTCTTAAAGAAATATTGATCAGAGTGATGGCTTTTTATTTTCACAGTTGCTAGAACCTTTTGTGGCAGAGGGGGAGGTTAAGGTTGGTGTCGGAGGGAGTGGCTTGCGGCGATGTGACCGTCTTGGGCCTCGGCTGTGCGGAGTCGGCTCCCGCGGGCCTGTCACGCGGGAATGCTTACAGCCCTGCACGCAGACCTGTCCGAAGTCGCACACTGAAAAAGGCAAGGCAGACTTTTACTGCTGCCATAGGTGCAGAGACGTAACACTGCAGCCTGATGTTAAAGACCCAGAGGACAATTCACTGGGACCAGCCCTCTTGTAGTTACTGTGTGATTTGAGAATCCCATTTAACGACTTCAGTCAAGGGTTGGAACATTATTTCTCTGTCACCGTCCAAATAGTAATATTTTAGCCTTCGAGGGCTCGGTGGTTTCTGTCATAACTACTCAAGCCTCCTGTGGGGAGCAGAGGGAGGAGAAGCAGACTGTGGACAGGTGAGCAGGGAACCAGGTGGCGGAGTCCTGGCTGTGAATTCTCAGGGACACAAGTGCTGATTGCTGGGGTCAGCAGTGACGTAGCACACTCAGGTGACGCCAGACTGACCTCATTTCCTTTTCTGCTAGGGTTGCGGGATTCATCGATGAAAGGAGAGTACAGAGATAGTTTAATGTATTTAGATTTTTAGCACAGTATCTGACCCAGAATTTCAGGAGACTGGAAGCTCCGTGAGAGCAAGGGTTCTGTCTGGTTTGCTCACATCCGTACGCTTTCGCCTTAGGACAATGCCAGCACATCGCCGTAACTCAGGAGGTGTGTGTCGGATGAATGAGTGAAGTGGTTGGCTTCCCGGCCACTGGGAGGTATCCAGGCAGAGGCTGAGAGAGTCGCTCGGCTTCCTGATTGTGGACAGGATACCGCATCCAAAAAGGGGCAGGACGGGTCTCTCCCAGCCCTGCTCGTCTGTGCCCACGCCAGGAAAAAGCTGTTCTGAAACCCCGTTTTGCTTATTTGGAAGCCCAGCCAAAACCTTGAGTCTGGGGAGCTCGAGAAACGCGGCTTTGAAACTCTGTCTTCCGTTGGCTGATGGGCCACAGTCCGTGCTGTTGGGCAGCCTGTCTGAGCTGTCGGCATCGGGCTCTGTAGGGTCTGACGGCTGCTCGTTGGCTTTCCCTGATTAAGTTTCCCCACGGAGGTGAGGCCTGGCTTGAGTGGATTGAGAGCTGGCCTGCGGACCGAAAGGTCGCTGGTTCGATTCCCAGTCAGGTCACATGCCTGGCTTGTGGGCCAGGTCCCCAGCTGGGAGCGTGTGAGAGGCAACCAATGGATGTGGCTCTCACATACTGTTGTTTCTCTTCCTCTCTTTCTCCCTCCCTTCCCCTCTCTCTAAAAAAAAAAGTAAACAAATAAAATCTAAAGAAGTAATGATTGCGGTGACATTGGTTAGCAAAATTACGTAGGTTTCAAGTGCACAGTTCTAGGGTACATCATCTGTCTATTGCATTGTGTGTTTCCACCCAAAGTCAACTCTTCTTCCGTCACCGTATTTTTGACCCCTTTTACCCTTTACTACCCCCGCCCCTTCCCTCTGGCGACCACCATACTGTTGTCTGGGGGCGGTTTTGTTCGTCTTGTTCGTCCACGTGTTGCTTTCAGTTTTCTGTCCCACAAGCGAGTTCCCTGGTCTGTGCGCAAGGCCGTGGGAGACGGTTTTTTTAAAATCGCTCTCTCAAAAACAAGTGGAAGAGAGCTTGCTTGCTCATCAATCTCCCCTCCCCGCCTGGCCTGAATCCAGAGCCATTCGTGGCCATAGCTGGGCTCTGTAGCTGCGTACCCGGTCCGTGCTGAGGGAGCTCCCACGCCCTGGGTGCCCTGGGCGCCCTGGGGTCCCGCTGACACAGGCGCCCCCTCTGCACTTGCTTGGCCCAGACGGCTGCCGGGAAACCCGCTGTCCACACGGTCCTCTGGGGACTTACGGCTCCTCCCACGGGCTGCAGGACCGGCCCGAGGAGGGACCCAGGGAGAAAAGGGCTCTGTGATGGGAAGGGACCCTGGGAGGCGCTCCAAGGCTGCTGCCCTGGGCGGTCCTGCTGTGTTCGTTCAGCCTCCGTAAGACCCACAGTGGGCGGACCTGCCCTCAGCTGCCTGTCCACTTCCAAGTCAGCCAGGGTGGTGGCAGAGGCTCGGATGGGGTGGACCCTCACCTGCAGAGTCGCTGAGCATCCAGGTCGAGCAGGGCTTTGGGGAGGTGTGCCCCACCAGACCAGCGGGAGAGTCTTCTGGAATCGGGGAGGGTGTGCGTGTGAGGGGAAGTTTGGGGGCAGGGCAGTGAGGTAAGAGGGCCCAGGAAGGGGCTCTTCCACACCGCCCGCGGGGCCAGGTGGGTTCCAGGTGCGAGGGAGCCGTGCGGAGACGCTGGACAGCGCTTCTGCCTATAAAGGGGGGGTGCGGTGGGGAGGGGTCTGAACGACGTCAGCACACCTCGTGGACGAGCTCTGCGCAACCAGAGTTTCGGAAGCGGCGTGGGGAAAACACGTCTGCAGCCTGCTGGCGGAGCAGCAGGCCTAGGCCACTCCCTGCCCTGAGCCCAGCTCCTGAGCAGCGGGCGGCGCGGCCGAGGGGACCCGTTGAGTGTCGTCCCTTTGTCACTTTCGTCACTGGCAGCAGCAGGAGCGGGGAACAGGTGTCTGCGTGGGGACCAGCTGTCTTCTGGAGTGGCAGTTGGAATGAGCCTTCGACTTTATGTCTGAATGAGCTTCCTGGGGAGGCCTTTCCTGGCTCCGTGGGCGGTGCTCTCACTCCTGGGGATCAGCCTGGGCCACCTCGGAGAGAAGCAGGCAGGCTTTGGTCCCGTACTCGGCCTGGCACCCCCTCAGGCTGACAGGGGGGGCGGGGCAGGGTCGGACATGTTGCAGTTGTGTCTTGTTTACTGAGGTGCAGCTGTCGTTTCTGAAATGCAGGTGAAGCCCTACAATGTCTACGTCACGGTCGCCTACCCGCCCGACACAGACACACCTGGGTTTGCAGAAGAAAACAAGACAAAGGTGAGTGTCCCCGCCTCTGTGCTCTGGCCCAAGTCTTGAACGGCGCCAACGCCGTTCCTGATTTTCTCCTTCCACACTCCAGCCTGCAGGCGTTTGCGTCAGTCAGAAAGCTGAATGCCTTTCAGTTAACAGGCTAGCCACAGGCCTGTGTTGAACTTTCTGGAACGTTCATTTGACATCTTGGAGAATGCAGCCACATTTTCAAAGGCCTTGAGTGTTGCTAATGGTCGTTGCAGCCTTGTCGAATTAACAAGGTATCTTCTTTGTGACGGAGCGTGCAGCCTGTATTTGTAACTAATGAGATGGTATTCTTTAGAAATCACATTCTTCTGAACTTCAAGACCTGGTTGCTGTTCCACTGTCTCCCTGTGGAGGTCTAATGGGCACCTCAGACCCTGGCACTTCCGAACGGGACTTTTGATTCCCTCTCAATCCCCCTCGTTATTTTCCTCTCGTTGTCTGGCGCCCAGCGCTCACCCAGCAGCGCAGGCTACCAGCTGGAAGCCAGCTGGGTTCTCCCTCTGGGCTCCCCTGTCAGAACATATCCGGACTTTGACCTGTTTACTTGTGTATTGTTAACTGCATGTGACACTACCACTCTAGCAGCGACAGCCACTGATATCTTTGCCTAAAGGTACTTTACCAGCTTCAAACTGGTCTGCCTGCTTCCGTTCATCCGCTCTGGGGTCTGTTCTTTATAGAGTCGTTGGCAGCCTTTTTAAAGTTTGAGCCAGGTCTTGCCACTCCCCTGTGTAAAACCTGCCTGTGATTAAAAAAAAAAAAAAAAGGCCAAACACCTCTTGGGCCACACCGTCCACGGAATGTTCTAGAATGGTGAAAATGTGCTGATTCACTCTCTTCACATTGTGGCTTTGGAGCACCGGAAATGTGGTGAGTGGGGTTGAGAAATTGAATTTTCAGTTGTATTTACTGTTACCCAACCCCAAGTTAAAATTAAATAGAGCGTGTTGGCGGTGGTGGTCATCGTGCCCGGAGGAGAATCCGGAGGCCTTGCGTACGGTCCCCAGGGTCTGGGCCGCGGCCGCCCACCTGCCTGCAGCATCCCCTCCTCCTCCTCCCACGCTCAGTTCCACCGGCGCCTGGCCTGTCGTCACCCGTGGGTGTCTCTCTTGCCGTCCCCTCTGGGTGTTCGAACGGCTCCGGCTCCCTCCCTTGGTTCTTCCCAGCTCTGTCCAGCGGTCACTTCCCTGACGCTCTGCATCTCGGATGGCACCCCTCTCCTGGGGTGGCCTCCACCCTCTGGCCTCACATTTCCTCCAGGGTGCGTGTCGCCCCTGGACACCGCGCACAGCAGCTGCCAGTGGTCCAGAGCGGAACGCAGAGCTTTGCGTTGTGTCCGAAGGGACCTCCTCTGTGCCTTGCTGCGTGGCAGCCGCTCCGAGCAGACGAACCCGGCGGGGAGGAAAGGAATCAGTCAGAACCCGCCACCTTGAACTGGCATTGCTCGTGTTTCTTCTGGTCTGTAAGGAGGCTCGGGGTGCATCCCCACCGCATAAACGTGGGCGCTTGGGCTCCGTGGGCCGTATATTTGCAGAAAGATGTTTGTGATTTAGAGGCTTTTTTCCTATTGATTTCTCTCCGGCTCTGCCTCTTTTAAAATGACTACTATTTCAAAGGAGTAAATTTAAGCCAAATGTCTGTCGCAGAGTAAGCGGGGAATCTGCTAAGCAGATTTGCAGCATTTGGTAAGCAGCCTTTTAGTTTGAAGCCAACGCTGACAAAGGGTGGTGATTTCCCTGTGAAGATGTGATTTTGATGTTAAGTTGGGGGTTTTTTTCCCCCACCGCTAAAATGTTGGGCTGACAGACTTCTTAGGGAAAATCAAATCCTATGCTGGCCTGTGGCGCCCATAGGGGGCGCCATCGTGCTTTTAAATCTAATGTGTGTCTAATGCCGCGTGGTTATGCCAGCCTTGTGGCCCGGAAGAATGAATCGTGGCACCTTCAAAGGGGCCTTTCTCTTAATTCAGGTTTATCAAGAAATACTGGGCTTTAAGGAAGTCCTCTGCTTTCCTATTTTAAGAAGATACATGCTGTTTTTCATTTTAATTCTTTTCAGCCGGCACAGTAAATAAAATTTACAGCTTTGTGCGGTGGAAGGCTTCAGTTTTGAAACTTCTAACGAACTCCCTTCTAAAGAATTTTTGAGTGTGCGTGCGCATCCCCACAAAGGAGATTTTTTTTAAGACTGGGGGGAGAAGAAGACCCTGTCCGCAGAGAATTTAGGAGGTAAATTGTAAACACACAGGCAGCTACAATACACAGGAAGGCAGAAATGTTCGAAGATGAGGTTACTGCCGGTTACGAATTCACAGAAGCTTTTTGGCCTCTGTGACAGTGGGGATGGCCAGTTAACAAGAGGCTAGGATGTGGGGTTCTCGTGTCCCCGACCCAGTACCAAGCACACAGCCGCAAGAGGGACCGGCCACTCCATATTTTATCTTCCAGTCTCCTTGTGGCCTCTTAAGAAACCGCTGCCGTGTTGAGTGGCGCTGTGGCGGTCCCTGCTCGGGACCTCCGCTCTGCCCGGGGGTCAGTGTCCTGCCAGCCTGGAGAACCATGACACCTGAGATGCAGGCCCATGAGCAGACTGGCCCGGGGCGCCCGGTCTGGGCTCTGAGGAAACCGCACCGGTCAGGCGTCTGGCCCGCGGTGAGGGTTCAGGAGGGGAGGTTGCTGGTCTCTCATAGCCCTGGTGTGTTCTCACTCAAGCTCTGATGGTCCTCGCTGGGAGCCGAGACCCCCCAGAGGTCCTACAGAGAGTGGCCAGGGCCACTCTCTCTCTCTGGGTTCAGGTTCTGGGCTGAATTTTGTACAGTGACCAGGTAGGAACTGATGGAGAATCCAGATGGACCTAACTCCAAAAACAGGAACCTACTCAAAAGTAGAAAACTGAACTTAGGTCTAAACAGGGGGGGTGCAAGGGGCGGGGAGGGCTGTGAGAATTTTATTGATTTTTTTTCCCAGTGTAATGGTGTTGATATGTCCCTTCTCCGCCGCAGCCTTTGGAAACCCGCCTTATTTCAGAGACCACGTCCATCTGCACGCCGGAGCAAGTGGCCAAGCAGATCGTCAAAGACGCCATCGTAAGTCAGTCCTGGCTTCCTTCCGTAATGGCTGTAGTCGTGTATTTCCGAAAAGGAATTTGTCCCCTGGGGCTATTTCAAAACATAAATCAGTGTACGTTTTTGGTCAACGTCATCCTATCTAGTGTGAGACTCTGCTTTTCTTCCCCGAGAAAGGTTACTGGTTCCATGGTAATTAGCAGGCTTTTTGGAAATGAACGCTGCAAGGTCTGGCACAAAGAATACCCCTGTTTTATTGCAGACTCTTGTACTACAAAATCATAACCATGGAATTCTGTAACATAACAAGAGCACACTCAAGCATACCCGCCATATGACATTTTAGGTGAAATGTTCAAATTAAGACTAGATTATTACACCCACATTATCACCCTGCCAGCCACACCCAAGCAGGACTTAACTTCTGCCGGACCCTGCATGACACAGGCGGCAAACACAAGGCCCAAGGGCGGGATCCGGCCCTCCACCTTGTTTTATGCAGCCCAGCACCTTGTTTCCACCCGGCAGCAGTGCCGAGCTCCTTGCCCCTAGTTAAGGAGTAGTTACATGTACACAGTCCTAAAATTAACATTCGGCCCTTTGAAGGCAGCCACGAGGCTGACATGGCCCCCGGTGAACATGAGCTTGACACCCCTGCTGTACGGTACCCTGACCTTAGGCACAGAGTGATCGGTGTGGGTGTGGGAACGTCGGTGCTTTGGGAAAACAACGAGACTCACCTGAGACACGTCAACGACTCATTCTGTGCACTGCTTGCGGCATCCTGCCTCCTCGCCCCTCTCCCACGGTGGCTGCAGTTTGGGGTCATTCTCGGTACCTGGCCATGCTCGTGGGTTTGTCTTTTTCACCTCCCTGCTTCCTCCCAGAGTCATTCTCCCAAATGTTCACTCACAAGAAAATGCAGCCCGCAGCACCCGCCCCCCCCCCCCGGGCCCTCCCACCGTCCGCCCAGATACCGTGCTTCTGGGCTACAGAGTGGACGTGGAGTCAAGAAGGTCAGCTTCAGAAGCCACGTGCTGTTTCGTAGAGCAACACACGTGCCGGAGGCTTTTGCACAACATTCCTGTTAGCCCCCACGCAGGAAAATGGCCAGGGGCGGGCGTGTCTGTAAACCTAAGGCCGAACCTAGGAAATCTGGGGGCCCCTGGCGCCAGAGGTGCACCCGAGGCCGGCCTGGGCGGAGTGTGAGAAATCTCGGGCTCTGCAAAAACGCATGCAGACGCAGGAAGGACTTCGCCCTGCCGCGTTCAAAGGCACAGAACAACGGCACTGGGGATGGGGTGGACTTTGTGTTTCCTGCTTATCTCAGGTCAGAGCAAACAAATCTGTTTTTGACGATCTGACACGGCTCTCTGTGTTGCGGCGGGACTCATCCAGGCCAGCGGTGGTCAGACTTTCCCCCCTCCTGGCCACTGGGCACTCTCAAGGGTTGACAGCCCCGCAGAACTTTGCTTTTGCTTACGTCGGTGATATTTGCCCTATTACAAGTGGAAACTGTGTAACTCTTAAAACATTTATGAATCCCACTTAAGCGAACAGTAACAAACCCGCTACGTTTTAATGTAACGTTTTTACAACCGTAATCATTTCTCAAAACAAACCTTGGGTGGAACGGGAGGCTGTTTTACACGGCAGTGGTCGCCTCGCTGTGTGTGTTCCTGGAAGGCAGCTGGGTTCTCCGAGCCGCTTCTGAGAACATACTCATTCTGGTGTCACATGTGGTTTTGAATGAAGGATACAGAGAAAACCTGGCCTTACGCAGACACGTACTTAGAAGAGGGAAGGGCGTTCCACTAGGTTTTCAGATCAGCACGGACATGCTTTTCTTGGTTGGAAACCCACGCTGGAGGAAGAGTAGTTTCTTAAAGGTTAGTTGCAGTATGGCGTTGGGAGCTCCGTTAATGAACTTTTTGTTCTCCGTTGCAGGGAAAATCCATTGGTCTTTGCACTTTGAATGTTTTGGACCCATTCATGATTTTGTAACGGCATGCATTAGTCATTCGGAAAATATGGGTTCGCCGAGTTATCCAAAAAATTGCATTTATTAGTGTCGCTGCTGGTCTTATAAAAAGTCTTCATCTAGTGGGAAGCTGACAGTCTCATGGAAAGCTCAGATTTTAATACTGACCATAAACACTGCCAGTTTTTTCTTAACACAACAGGGCGTTTCATTAATTTTCCAGAAAATTGATGGTTCTTGCATGTTCAAAATGGTATTCCGTGAACAGAGCGGCGAGTTTCATGACTGAAGCCATCGGAAGAGGGGTGCTTGCTTCTCAGAAGACACGTCATCAGGGGTTGGGCTTTAATTAAACAGTCCATTTTACCACCCTACCCAGGGCATTTTAGAACAAAATAGACATTTTAAAACTTTACAAGGTCTTTCGGAATTTCTGTTTCCTTCGTATATTTATCCCGGCGGGTGTGTGTGGCCGTGAAGAGGTGCCACTATCGTGACTGGTGCCGACGAGACAGCATTTTGCAAACGTCACTCGGTGGAAGAGTCCGAGAACGCTTCCGTCCTGTGATGACGATGGTTTTGTCGTCGCGGACGCCCAGGGTCCTCGGCCTGGCCCACGTTCGGAGAACCTCCCATCGAGCCGGCAGCCCCTCGGCCAAGGCCGTGTTCTCTCTGAGCTGCGAGAGGAGCTTTGTCAGGCTGTCATCCCGCGCCGGGGAAACAAACACGGTCCCCTGCTCCCCTGCTCGTGACACACTGAGTTGGTTCCTTGCTGTGTAACTCCTGTTGCTGCTTCTTTCTTCTCTCTTCTCTCCTTGCAGCAAGGGAACTTCAACAGCTCCGTGGGCTCGGATGGGTACATGCTCTCGTCCCTCACCTGCGGGATGGCTCCGGTCACATCCATCACCGAAGGGCTCCAGCAGGTAAGCGGTGCCGCGGCCAGCAGACAGGCGGACAGACGACAGACAGCGCCTTTCATTAACCCTCGTGAGAAAGGGCTAAATAACGGAGGACATGACCTGCGCGTGTGAACAACTCTCCTTCACGGGGCAACTCCCCCCCCACCTCTCCCAGGGCCCCGTCGCCGGGAGGCAGGGTGAGGATCTCACCTGGGTATCGCAGGTGGGGGAGCAAGGCTTCCCTGCCGGGCCCCGCAGACACAGAGCCGCGGCGCCGTCCCGGCCGCCGGGCAGCCAGTCTGGCTTCCCGTCCGGTCGGTCGATCGGAAGTGTTTGGGAAACAGAATTCTCCCTTGTGGAGTGCAGTTCAGGGGGGCCTCTCGCCCGACCGTCCTGGGGTATCAGACTAGAGCTCCCCCTTTCCCGGTGAGTCCGGCCACAGGTAACTCGGCCACAGGTAACTCGGCCCACAGGTAACTCGGCCGGGGGAGACCCAGGCTCCGCCCCGCCCCCACCCTGGCAGATGCTGCAGCTCGCCCGGGACCCAAACGGTGAACTGTGCCTCGAGGCGCTGGGGGCCGTGTCCGCTTCCGGGGGGTCGGATGTAGACTCCAGGGGTGCCCAGACCACCAGGGTGGCGCTAACACAGCGTGAAGTCATGAGTTACACCAGGGGGGCCGGGACGGGGCGGGGGGGAGGCTGCCCGCGCCGACGGGTGGGCTAGAACGAAGCACCGAGTTAGGTGCCGCACTCCACGTCCAGACCGAGTGTGCGAAGGGCTCAGCAGCTGTCGGGTTTCCTCCCGCTCCCCTGTGACGTGCCCACGACGTCGCTGTTCCCTCTCAGGCGGGCGCTCCGTGACGTGGAGGCGCCTCCTCCCCTCTCAGCCCCCCTGCTCTCTGGACCACCTTCCGTGAACCTTAAGGCAAAAATCTTGATGTTAGTTTGGATGTGGGTGATGCTGGAGCAGACTTTCCCGAGCTTCAGAGCCCCGAGACTGCTAAGAATGCCTGTTTTTCTTTGTTTAATTTGAATATCCGAACCGAGCCTGTGTCCTGTCGTTACCTGTCTGGCAGGCATCACATGCCCAGTGATGCCCAGCAAATAGCTGCTGTCCTCTGTGTTTTATGGACACTCCCCAGGTTTTCATCATCCTTCTCCTTGCTGCAGGTTCGAAGATGTGGTTCAGACACTGTTTATTCGCGACACGTCCCGAACCCCCTTGAAACGCGCTGCGGTGTCGTGCTGTTTGACGGCCGAGCTCACGGGTCTGTCTCTACCTTGCAGGTGGTCACCATGGGCCTGTTCCGCATGCTGTCTTTGTTTTACCTGGGAAGTTTCGACAACATCATCCGTCGCTGCATGGTAGAAAGAGCAAAATATGAAACCGCAGACAAGACTGCCTAACCCTTGGGAAGGAGGAGTGTTCCCTAACTAATGCGAGCAGCTTGCTGCTGGACGGGACCCAGACTTTGGACCACAGACGCTTGTGTGTTGATTTTGAGTGTGTCAGATGGGACCAGCGGTCTCCGGCCGCCTGGCTGCGAGCGAGGGGATGGAAGCTCAAGTGCGGACCATGGGATCACTGCTATGCAAACGTGGAGCGGGAGACCGTCTGGTTCTCCGGGAGGAGAGGCGATGACGGTGGGGGAACGGGTAGGTACGAGCAGGTCGGGAACGGGACTCCAGAGCGATCATTCACCTTTTCTCCAGTTGTCCTTTTCCCCGCCCGGAGGTCAAGCTCCGAGGTGGACGTGGACACGAAAGACATTCTGAGGACTTGTTAAACCTGCCATGTCAGACGGTTTATGGGTTTCTGAAGCCTTTTTTTTTTTTCTCTCTTTCATTTCATATATTTTACTCAAAATGAGTTTTACATGTTGTGGGTGAGTCTGAATACGTAATCATGTTTCTGGATCCCTGTGCAGCTTGCTGGTGGATGCTTGTGGATTATCTAGCTCTTGGAGTTTTCCATAAAACTCCGAGAGGAGGGGAGGTCAGTGCAGAGAAGAGAAAGGGGGTAGGTATTTTCCGGTAGGAAAAATCAGGCTTTCTTGTCTTCTTTAGGTTCCAGTTATTAGGGCGCTTCTCATTTTTCACTCAGCGGGAAAGGCAGCCTCCAAAAATGTTTTTTTTTTGAAGAGAAATAAAATCTTAGAAGCTTAAACATTTACAGTGTCTTCACCAGCCATGATGAGCTGAGGTGTCATTCCATTATATCAACAGTTTATTCCCATCTTTTCCTTTCCAAGTTTGCTTATGCTAGTATAGTAGTTTTTGTTAAAAAAAAAAAGACCAGTTAAAAATTTTTGACTTGACTTTTTCAATTCTTTCATGAATTCATGAAAACAGAAAAACAATTAAGATGTGAGATGTTCTTCCCTAGTATATATGTAACTGTTAGAAAAGGCTGGTGATGGCATATTTAAATTTCGCTCACTAAGAGAAGCCAGTTGGACAACAAGGCCGATTTGGAAGATATTGGTCTTTGAAATGAAATGACCACCGAGTTCTTTCTGTGAGTGACTCTCCCACTGGCCCGGCCAGTTCTAGAACATTCTCCTTGAACCGCACCTGAGGGAAGCACAGTCATCCTGCTCACAGCACAGCTCTGCCACCTCGCGGCCCCGAGAGTGCTGTTTCTGGACCACAGGCTTTGTTGGCCGTTCGTGGATTCCCACAGGAAGTGCCTGCAATGAGGTGCAGCCAGCAAACCCACGCCACCCTGTCCGTGTGCACCGCCGGCTGGGGACGGCCGCCTTCATGCTGACCCACGCCACCCTGTCCGTGTGCACCGCCGGCTGGGGACGGCTGCCTTCATGCTAACACCATGCCCCTTCCTCGCACGGTCAGAATGCGTGTTCGGCAGCAGGTTCCAGCCCGCTTGGGCGAGACAGACCACTGCATCTGAAGAGGAAAGTTTTTATTGTTTTTAAAAAAAAAAACTTGACAAAAGATTGAAGACCTAAAAATGAGAGCAGAGAGTTTCTTTCCTCTTGAGTTTTCGATCCTCTTGACTTTAAAATGACTTAGTTTTTTAAAAGTACGATGTTTCATGGCTTTATTCCATGGGGTCTTGTTAATCGAAAGCGGAAGGTGGCCTGTTTAAATGCTGTCGATGGCAGGAGCAGTGACAACGTCATATGTGAGCTGCGTGGGGTGACCTCCGTGCGGTTGCTGGGGGCGGGGGGCGGGCCCTCGTGGTGTGGGAGTCCCAGCCTTTGGCCTCCATCAGCTGCGGACGGACGCCGCGCAGTGTCGGAGGTGTAGTCAGAGCTGTATTTTCATAACTCGCAGACGACAGCTGCATTCCTCTGTGTATTTTTCTCGACTCTATTCTTTTCTGATCAATGTCCCTCGAATGTTGGCACCTTCTGCTGGTCTGTATGGCAACCGAGTCCAAGACGGTGTCTCATTTAATAAAAGTACCTAATTAACAGCAGTTATTTCAATATTCGTTTCTCAAGGCGTCCCCCTGGACAGTACTGGGACCCCAGGTGATCTGCTGCCCGGACAAGGGTAGGACCCCCGTTCCGTGGTGGGAGGTGACGTCCCCACCCCCGCCGAAGCTCAGGCACGCGGGCCTGTGTGTGGGGACACGCCGTCGGGGGGGGGAGGGGCTTGTCACAGACACCGCAGGGCCACACACAGACAGCGCTTCATCCCGACAGCTGTGGAAGTCAAGGTGCATCCCCCCCGCCCCGAGTTTGGTGCCGTGGTACATTTGACAGGGAAATGTGACGTGAACAGGTGTGAGATCACTGTAGTTTTTGTTCACGCTCCTGCGTGGACGGACTGTGGGTTCGTTTCACCTGAAGACCTGCGGGTGGGTTTGACCACAGGGGGGACCCCCCGATCCTGTGGGAATGTTCCGCACTCTCCCGCACGTGCCCTGTGTTACCTGTACAAGATGCCAATGTGAGCCTGAAACCCATCTGGCCGGAGGGCGTTTGGGGAAGGGATTGTGGACATTTAAGCAGCATCACCCAGAGATCCGGCTTCCCCAAAACCATGCACGTATCACAAGGCAAATGCTATTTATTTTTTTGGCTTTGTTCCTTTGTACCTGTTTTTTTTACACTGACTTTTTTTCCTAGGGGAAGGGATAAAAAGCCCTGAGTCAGATTGTTGGGGAAATTATTGGGTTTTTTCTTTTAAAGGATCACGTCGATTCAGCGCTTGCTATTGTACCTAGAAGGGGATTTGTCCTCCCCGTGGCAGGAGGAGTTTCATTATAATTCTGTTGAAACGTTGGTTCTCCGTGAGCAGCAGCGGCTCATTATGTGCGCCTCAGTCCTGAAGTGCCTTCTCCGCCGGGTTCGGGGTCTCTGTTTCATTGTAATACACTCGCGAGGACGTTTATTTTAAAGTGTTGAACGTCCTTCAGCCTTAGAAATGCCAAAATGGGTAGGACCCTTCATAATTGAAAGAGGGTATTTAAAAATACTCATTTCTTTTCATAGAAAACAAAGTCAAAGGAATTGTTCTTTTCTGTATTTTTTTAAGTTTAATTTTCACAGATAAAAAGAGAAGAAGTTAACAATGTTGTTAACGATGGGCAGCCACTTTACATTAATAATGTGTGTCGAGTTAGAAATCTCTAGTTTGTTGTGTTGCTAAATGATACATTGAAGTGAACTTTTGAGAGACTGTTTCCAATATTTAGATGACAAAAGCATTTTGGTGATACTTGCTTTAATTCAAATAATTGTAGGGATATGTCTTTCTAGGAGAAAACAGTACTGTAATATGTTTACTAAACTATGTCATCAACAGATTTAATTTTACTACATTATATTCTAATTTAAACTCGTCTTCTTTGAGGGCACTTATGTATACTTTTTGACTTAAGATGCTCTGTAGCTTCCTTATAGTTTTTAGGTCCTGGTAACTCAACTTTAAAAAGTACCTGCTGATCATAACCTTATATCTTCTGGACTCAATCTGAGTTAGTACCCTAATATCAGATTTGGTATTTTGTGAAGGAGATACTAGCTATTATGTTTTACACTTGCTTGGTGTCACACCTCTATAAAGACTTTTTTAAACCCATAAGGGTGCACACGGCTATTTTGATATCTGAGAATTTGCGTTGGCTACTTTGGAAGCTTTTGTGGCATAAGTGTAACCTAGCTTTCATACCTTGTATTTCTGAATCACAACAAAGAGTAAATGGGGAATAAGCTTTGCAGATTCGAAAACTTACTTTTCTAGAAATTTGCATTTTTAAAGAGACATTTAGCCAAAAAAAAATAAACAAACCTCTTCCATCAGTTTTCCTTGCCTCCCATCCTGACAGGGTTTGACTTGCATCCTTTTTTAGGAGGTAACTTTTCCGAGTAAGGACTTGATGTAGTGAGCTCTGCTTCAAGTAGATGGTGTGTCTGTGAGACTCTGGTGTGGGATATATGAGTAAAACTGTAAGAAATGTGGAATTTAGTAAAATGTCTTAAGTGATTATGTGTCATATACAAATAAGTTGACGTCCCATACTTTAAACCTTCATACTCCAGTAATAAAATATCCCCTCCACCGAACAGTGTACAACACTGACATGTCAAAGAACATTTTTCTCAATCTTTCAGCAGAAAAGCTTCTCAATGTGTTGAGAAGAGATTTCTTGGACACCTTGGTCTGCAAACTGCACCTTTCTTTACATTTTAGCAGTTTATATATGTGACTGGCGTACAGTATCCCTTCTATCATTTTTATTTTTGGACCTTTAAGAAAATGTTTCTTCTGTTCCACTGCTGACTGTGTGACTTCCATTTCCTCTCCTTCAGCATGTATCTGCGGAGTGCCTGTGATGAGCCCAGTCTCCCCGGCCCCAGGCCCCGGGCACGAACTGCACCAACACCTTGTCCCTCCTGCGGCAGTTTCATGTCTTGCTTCGTGCCCTCCCCTCTCCTCCATCCCTCTTTTCAAGTCTCCTCGGAGGAAGGACCACTCCCCATTCCTTTCTTTGGCTGGGGGCCTCTGAATTTTATGCCACAAATATTTGAATGCCAGGCACTATTCTAGGCTTGGAATGCTCAAAGGAAAAACACGGTCCCTGCTCTTAAATAGTTGGTAATCCAGAGGAATGCCAGAAATTAGCACCGTGGATCCAGTGCTAGCTGTGATGAAGATGCAAACAAGGAATGTCGAAAACATAGCCGGTGCCAGTCACTGTCGTGAGTGCCTTACAGTGAGCTCACGTAAATCGGGCTCTAGCCTTCTGAGTACATAGCCCCCCCCCCCTTATTCACGGAAGGTACATCCCAAGACCCTCAGCGGATGCCCGAGACTGCAGGTAGTACCCCACCCTATTAGATATTGTGGTTTTCCTACACCGTATGGTCAAGTCGAAGTTAGAAATTAGGCACAGCAAGAGATTAACCACAACCAGCAATAAAACAGAACAATGAACAATATGCTGCTTTAAAAGTTACGTGAGGGTGGCGTCAGGCAGTAGAATGAGGGCGACCTGAACACAGGCGCTGAGACACCAGGACTGTGGGTCTGGTGACGGACAGCTACCAAGCAACCGAACGGCTGGGGAGCGTCAACAGTGTGGACAAAGGGGCAATTCACCTCCCGGGCGGGACAGAGCCGGGTGGCAAGAGATTTCATCACGATACCCAAATGCGCAATTTAAAACTTAGGAATGGTTTACTTGTGGAATTTTCCACTTAATATTTCTGGACCTCGGTTGACTAGGTAAAGTGGAACCTGAGGATGTCGGGGAGGGTACCGTCTAGTTCCCCGTGTGTTAGAAAGGAGGGCCCAGGAACTCGTCCAAGGTCACACGGGCGAAGCCATAGAGGCAGGATTCGGATCCCTGTTTTGACTCCTAAGCTCCCAGCCCCGACCGAGTCTCTCCTCTCGGCACCAGTGGAACCCTAGCGCTGCCCGGGAAGGTCAGGGGCAGTCTCACAGGGGAGGTGAGACCCGAGGAAGGAGGATGCCTTTGCCGTGAGCAGGTGGCCTGCATCTCAGGGAGACGAGCAGATGTGCGGACACAGACGGCGTGAGAGAGCTTGGCATATTCCAGAAGGCGCACAAAGGTGGTCCAGCTGCACGGAGAGAGGACAGTGGCAGGACACCCAGCTGGTGGGCTGGGGCCACGTCATGCTGTGCCAAAGGGTTGAGATTTTAGCCTCTGGAAACGGCTACCTTTGAGCAGAAACGGGGCTGGATTTGACCCTCAGAATGATCCTGGTTCCCCTTGAAATGCAGGAGTTGCTGGATCCAAGGACCTTAAAATAAACAATCCCCATTCATTTGAAAGACGCCTTACTGGGTGCATAGTAGGGGTGTCGTTTTGGGCCCTCCAAACATGTTGGTATCTTAACCTCAAGTACCCACAAACGTGGTCTTATTTGGAAATACAGTCCTCACAGAAATGATCACATTCAGATGAGTTTATTTGAGTCCTAATCCAGGATGACCGGTGGCCGTACAATAGGAGAAAACACCCACACAGGCAGAGCCCCGTGTGATGGCAGGCGGAGACGGGAGGGATGCAGCTACAAGCCGAGGACACTCAGCCACCACCAGAAGCTGCCACAGGCCAGGGAGGCTTTTTCCACCCAGAGCCTTGGAAGGCGGCATGGCCGGGCTGACCCCCTTGGCTTTGGATTCAAGCTCCAGAACTTGGGGAGAATACATTTCTGTTGTAAGCCCTCCCTCCCAGTGTGGGGTATTTTGTCATGCCAGCCTTAGGAATCAACCCCTTGCATTTTCTACACGGATGGATCAGAAATTAGTATCTGGGAGGAAGTGTGCTCAGTGCTAGCTAGCACGAGAGAGTAAACGTTACGGTAATTTTGGCACATTTAGGATGTACACTTGTTGTCTGTTAACCCCGTCGGCACCATGGTGTTTCATGTTATTTGGTTCTGTTAGTGTGGTTTCAGTCCAGGGAGAGCAGCAGGCCTTTGAAAAATACAGGTTTCTTCTTTTATTTCACTTTAAAAGCAAAGTCACTAATCTGAAAGGAAAAAAATGACCACAAGTGAATTTCTGGCGCGTTCCTTTATAAACCAAAAGTAAATGTTACTGGCCCACTATTAAAGTCGCACGAAGGATGATTGATGTGCTGCTCATTGCCTAGTTTCGAAGGTTGTTGCTAAACTGGTCTAAGCATTTTTTGAGGTTCAGGACCAACAAGCCTTGCTTTAACGGAGAAACACGGATTCGGCAAGAGTTTCCTGATGATAAGGACAGTTTGAGAGGACAGACGAAGCAGACAACTTAGATGGGATCACTCTTAGAGCACAAGAGAGACCTTGGAGCACCAGTGATTGGGAAACAGTATTACTCTTAGTGTTAATACAGGGCCTGGCACAAGTCATGCCCCTTTTTTATTGCAAAACCTTTTACAAAATCATAAGCATGTAATCCTGTAACATAACACCACCATACTCAAGCACACCATAGGACACTTTAGGTGAAATGTTCAAATTAAAAGTATAAATTATGACACCCATATTATTACCCTACCAACCGCACTCAAGCAGGCCTGCCCTCCGACGACGGATCGTGTATTTGTAACTAATTAGTAACACTATTACATGTCGGCCAACCGAGTATACAAACCGTCTGAGAGTGTGGCACTAGGCATTGGAGGTCACCACGTAGCCCTGCCTGGTGTGGCTCCGCTGGGTGTCGTCCCCCAGAGGGAAGGCCTGTCCCCTGCCAGGTCAGGGTGCATGCAGGGGTCGCAGGTTCAGTACTCAGGCAGCGTGGGTACGGGGGGTGGCGACAGATCTGTTTCCCTCCCTCCCTCCCCCCTAAAAATAAATACATAACATCTTTCTAGAAAAGAGTTTATAATGTATAAGATACTCATGGCAAGTATATCTCAGTAAAGCTGGAAACAGTGATTGAGAAGATACTTGAAACTGGAAATCAGCATTTTGGATAGTTTATCTAGGTCTGTGAAATGTTATTTCTTAAGCAGTTCGTTTTATCTTTTGTGGAGACTATATGGACTCCTTGATTTTACGCTTTCTAGTCAGTTGGTTTTGTGTACGGATTTACCTCCACTTCAATTTGCCTACATGGTTTGGGGTCATGCTTTGCATTTTTAACTCTTTTACCTTACTTATTAGCTGTCCGTTCTGTCTCCAAGATGCCTTTCTATCCCTATTTTAAATAAAGAGTTGAATAGCTGGGGAGATTCGACGCACGCCTATATTAAACATCAGTGTAGTATGTCCAGATTAGAAGAATGGTCTTTTTGAATTTCATCCACTTTGGACAACACCCTTCTAGTGGTGGCGGACAGAGAGCGCTTTCTGAGTGATGCCATTACACATCCACCAGTAGGTGGCGAAAACTGGCAATAAAACGCTTTTTGTTTGGCAGACTGGAGAAAAAAAGAAGGAAAACACAGGCCTTTCAGACTCCAGATTCAGCCTCCACTCCTTGCGTCTTGCTCTTTTCCCTTGCCAGTGCTGCCTTGCTCCTCGAATCGGGCCTGGCAACGCTGGCAAAGGGCTTGCCTGTCGGGCCGTAACAGCGGAGGACGACGTCTCGGGACATGAAGAGTCCGTTGGCGCACGATTTGGGAGGCTGCTGGAAGGTGCCCGTCACAGAGCTGAGATTCAAACCCGGGTCTCCGGACTCAGGCCGGAGCTCCCTCGGCCAACTCACCCGTGCTCAGGGACAACGGGCTAAAGCACACCCTTCCGAGGGGTGCTCCATCTCATCATTGCGAGTGGGGTCTAATAAAGGGCGGAATCCAAGTGGAAGCAGGGTTTCACGGCTGCCCTTCCAAGTCCCAGGGAATATAACCCTCCATCAAGGACCGTCGTGAAGACCTGTCCCGAGGATATGCCAGGTCTTGGTCAACGTGCCACCTGAAGAATCTATCTGGGGGCATCTGCCAGGGAGGGGAAGAATGAGGAAGCTGGTCTTTCTCTGGGAAAGGGGTTCTGTTTCGATCCGCCTACCCCTAGGCAGAAGTGCAGTCTCTTTTCCAGCTCTGTCCTCTCATTTCCTCCCTCACGGGCCGGGCCTCAGAAGCACTGAGCCTTTCAATTCCTCTTAAGTCATTTTGGAGGTTTCTGACAGAGCTCTCAGAAGATCCCCAAACCAGAATGCTGCGGCAGTAGGTGGGTTTCTCCTAATTCTGTGGGAACATACATCTCGGGTCAGTGTGTACCCAGTGTTCACCTCCAGGCCAGAACGCCTCCCGGTCATTGCCACGGGCGCTAGGGGACTCTGTCCCAGCGACCAGAAGGCAGGACAGAGCATCTTCCTTCATCCCTTCTCACCGGGACACCAAGTTTGGACGCATCCCCACACGCAAGAGGTTGGCAGGTGGGCTGATTGGGACGATTAAAAAGAAGGAACATAATTTGCTGTGCTTATCGTGCTTAGGAATAAACGCTTTGATTTTAGGCGAGAACGAGACAAGATAAAGATAGCGCCTGAACATATTCATACAAAGTGCAGCACTCATCGGTCACGGTTCCGTGACCACAATCCAGCGTCCCCTATGTACTTGTCCTCTGGCCCTACTCGGTGAGCTGCTGTGCTTTCAATAAACATTTTTTCCCCTCCGGGCTTTATTTGTCAAAGACTCTTGGAGATAAAAATAGTCAAGCACGTGCAACTTGATTGCAGTCTCGGGTTTTTCGCGGAGGGACTGTTCATGCTGATGGATTAAAAAACGTGTGTGCTTGTGCACATCTTGTGTGTACTGTGTGTGTCGCTAACTTGAGAAGGTGTGGCCATCTGGGATTGGCTGCTAGGCGACCCTGGAGGCCCTTAGAAACCCACCCGGGCGCTGGGACTGTGGGCCTGAAAGTTACCGTGTAGACCTTCTCCAAGGCCGGCCCTCACCCAAGGCCGAAGTTCTCAGGAGCAGAGGAAATGCAGCTACAGAACCATTTCAAAGCCCCTGCATCCTCCACTCGCCCCTCCGCCGGCCGGCTGAGAATCCCGTGTGGCCTTGGTCTTGGATGGTGCCTCCAGAGTGCGTGTTCCGCGTGGACACCTAGGAAGCAACTTGAAAGTAAACAAGACGCCGGGAGCTTCCCTCGCTAACGAATGTGCAGTGTCGCCTCTCTTCACGGGAGGGCAGCGCTGAGGACCCTGTGCTCGGGTTCAGATCGGCCTGGGCGGCCGCGCGCTGGTAACGCGATGTGGGTGTACACACACACACACACACACACACACACACACACGCCACTCACACGGCCAGGAAGGGTCGCAGCGATTCCCCGCGATTGTTTTCTTGGCGCACCCACCCACCCAGCCGCCGCCAGCCCGGCTGCGTGCAGTTCCCCGGGCGCCCCGGCCCCAGGCGGGCCCCGAGCGCGCCGCAGGCCCGAGGAGGCCCCTCGCACACCCACCGCGCCGCGGCCGCGCGGGAGGCCTGCGCCGCCCGCGCCACCCACCGGCCGGGCGGAGCGGGCCCAGAGGGCGGGCGGGGGCCGTCCCAGGCGCGCCCTCCCCGGCTCGGCCCTGCGCGCCATGTGTCCCCGGCGAGGCGCGCCGCTCCCGGCCCGGCCGCGGTTCCTTTAACCCGGGAAAGGGAGCGGGGCGGAGGGGGCGGCGGGGCCGCTCAGAGGAGGGCTCTTTCTTTCTTCTTTTTTTGAATGAACCGTGTGACGTACGTACAGGAAACCAGTCGGTTCGAGCGGAGAATGAAGTAAGAGGCCAGGCCCCCCCCCGCCCCGCGCCCGCCCCCTTCCTCTCCGCCCCCTCCCCCGCCCGACGCGCGCCCGCCGGCCCGCCCGCCGGCCCGCCGCTCTCGGTTTCCCCCGCGGAGCCGCCGCCGCCGCCGCCGCCGCTGCTCGCGAAGGTGCCGAACGCCGGGCCCTCCCAGCCGGCGCGGCCGTCACCGCCCGGAGCGGGTGCGCGGCGGGAGCGCGGGGAGACGGCCGCCGCCAGCAACGCCGCGCAGGAGCAGGAGGAGGAGAAAGGGTGCGCAGCCCGGAGGCGGGGTGCGCCGGTGGGGTGCAGCGGAAGAGGGGGTCCAGGGGGGAGAACTTCGTAGCAGTCATCCTTTTTAGGAAAAGAGGGAAAAAATAAAACCCTCCCCCACCACCTCCTCCCCACCCCTCGCCGCACCACACACAGCGCGGGCTCCCTGGCTCTGCACCGGCGGGCCGGGCGCGTCCTGCCTTCATTTATCAAGCAGCTTTTCGGAAAATGCGTTTGCCGTTCGGAGTTTAATCAGAAGAGGATTCCTGCCCCAGTGCCCGGCGCGTCCCCGGGCCGCCGGTCCCTGTCTCTCCCCCCGGGGAGGCGTGAAGCGGTCCAGCGGACCAGGGGTCCATGTCTGTGCCCGCGCGTGTGCGCGCGCGTGTAAATTGCCGAGAGGGGGGAAATCACAGGACTTATGCAAATACTGGATTGAACATTGTAATTCCTCTGCCGCCACCGCTGCTCCCCACTTTTTTTTTTTTTTTCTCGTGCTCTTGAGCTCTCCGGCCGGGATTCCTGCGGATTGACGTTTCTGTGAAGGAGAGAAGTCTGCGGATCGGTCCGCCGGGGCTCGTGTTTGACCGCTCCCCACGCGCCCCCAACTCCTGATTCATTTGGAAGTTTCGCAGCCGCTCGCGCCGGGGAGTTTGGAAGACCGATGGGGTCTCTGCCTTACGCGTTTGTTGTGTTTTCACAAAAAGGGAAACTTGACAGAGGATCATGCTGCCCTTAGAAAATACAAGTAAGTTCTCTGCACAGGAAATTGGTTTAATGTAACTTTTAATAGAAACATTTGGGATTTTAACTTTAAGTGCATTCGAGTAAGCTGAATGTCCAGGCAGTCGGAGACGTGGTGTTTAGCCGTGTGACTGTGGTGTGTGTGCCCTGCGTTCACCCCGAGTGTCAGGGGACATGCACCTGATTTTGACTTACCGGTGTTTTTCCCCCCCTAACCTTTCAGGGTCGTAGAGGAAGTAAACTGGTCTTGACAATAATTTAATAACAATGTGCCTCATGAAATAAAGACCCGAAAGGAATTGAAATAAAAATTTCCTGCATCTCATGCCAAAAGGGAAACACCAGAATCAAGTGTTCCGCGTGACTGAAGACACCCCCTCATCCAAGAATGCAAAGCACATCCAATAAAATCGCTGGATTATAACTATTCTTCTTTCTTTCGGGGCCGTGGGGCGGGAGCGGGGGCGAGAGGTGCTGCCGGTGCCCGGCTGCTGCTGCTGCTGCTGCTGCTGCTGCTGCTCGGCTGCTCCCGGGGGAGAAGGATGGCGCACGCCGGGAGAACAGGGTACGACAACCGGGAGATAGTGATGAAGTACATCCACTATAAGCTGTCGCAGAGGGGCTACGAGTGGGATGCCGGAGACGCGAGCGCCGCAGCCCCGGGGGCCAGCCCCGCGCCGGGCACCTTCTCCTCCCAGCCCGGGCGCACCCCCGCGCCCGCCAGGACCTCGCCGCCGCCGCCCCCCGCCGCCCCCGCCGCCGCGGGGCCCGCGCTCAGCCCGGTGCCCCCCGTGGTCCACCTGACCCTGCGCCAGGCCGGCGACGACTTCTCCCGCCGCTACCGCCGGGACTTCGCCGAGATGTCCAGCCAGCTGCACCTGACCCCCTTCACCGCGAGGGGACGCTTTGCCACGGTGGTGGAGGAGCTCTTCAGGGATGGGGTGAACTGGGGGAGGATTGTGGCCTTCTTTGAATTCGGTGGGGTCATGTGTGTGGAGAGCGTCAACCGGGAGATGTCGCCCCTGGTGGACAACATCGCCCTGTGGATGACAGAGTACCTGAACCGGCACCTGCACACCTGGATCCAGGATAACGGAGGCTGGGTAGGTGCATGTCTGGCTGCGCGTGAGGCTGGGATGCGAGTCTCGGGTCTGAGGCGCGGTGGCCGGAGTGCGGGTGGGCTCCCGGGCCGAGGACCGGCCCGCGAGCCGGGGAAGGAAACTCGGGCTGGTTGCTTCCCACCCTCTCCCCTCGTCCGAAACGCGTCCTGCCAACCCTCCTGGGATCGTTCCTTGCCACCCAGAGCGTCCTCCTTGCTTGCCCGCTGTTGAGGTTCCGAGATCCAGCATTTGCTGTCCAGCAAGATGTCGGGAGAAATGGCACCCTTCCAGGGTCCCCTCAAACGCGGGGGCCCAAGGACCCCCACCACCGCGGCTCGCTGGGCTGCGTAGCTTGTGGAAATGGGAGAGCCCGGTTGGGTCCCAGCAGTCCTCACCCTACGCGGACTCCCCTGGGGGTTTCTTCTTTGTACTACAATTTGAGGAGCGCCCCATTAGGAGAACTGACTGCGTCCAGGGACCCAGGGGCAGGCTGTTTCTGACTCACTTGGTGAAGTCTACCCCAAGAGGACAGCCGAGGTGGGCCCTGTCCCTGGAAAGCGTAGCTGTGGTTTTGAAGAGGTGAGTCCACTTGCCGAGAGCCCAGGGTCCCCAGCCTGCGGGGCGTGCCCCATTCCCAGTGGGCGTGGCCACGTGACTTTGAAGGACACTCAGCTGCCGATGCTTTAGTTTGTCTCATCGGTGACAGAATTTGCATTGGCTGCGAACTTCATGTTCTATTTCTATAACTGGTGTACATCTTCAAGTTCACTGGAATCGTAGTACCTTTGAGGGTTCGCCCCCCCTGCCCCGCCCAGAACCCGCGTCGTCTGGTTCCTGTGCTGAGCAAACTTGCACCCACAGCCCCTTGCAAGAAGCATGGAAGAACTGCTTCTTAGCTGTGAATTCCCTCGTGCCCTGCGTGTAGCTGCAGTGATGGATGTCTGTAGTTTTGAGGAGCATCTGGGAGATGATTTTTTTCCTGGGAGTGTGTTGGATAGAGCTTCTGGCATGCTACCCTAAAGATCTTTGTGTTTGCGTGTGATCCTCTGGGGGAGGAGAAGAATTGTCCCTGAGACCTGTACCTCGTATCTAAAATTGCTGATTAGTGAAAGAGTATACAAGAGGAATAATTCTTGTCTGAATTGTTTTTTCGGACTTTGTGTTTTACGCTACAGAATTACCTTTGAAAAAGGAGTCCGTTCAGTGCTTCCTTTTATGGTCTCTAGGGAGAATTACTGATGTAATTATTTTATAGGACTTTGCAGGAGCAAAGAGCCCAGAAATGATTACCGGTGGGTTCAGTCTCAAGAAGCATGTTCCGTATTTTACTACAGTTTACCAAGTGTGTTGATGTTCAGGGGCCACAAAGAGAAAAGGCGGAGAAAAGTACACGGCTGACATGAACAGCTGATCCTCCCTGAGCAAAGCTGACAAAATGTGCGTGCTGCTCTTTAATGCGTAAAAGTGAAGTGGACTAAAATACCCCGCCCCCCTGCATTTAAACCTCTACTTTGTAATGCTCTTTGTAAACTGTTTTCGTTTTTGAAATGCTATATTATCCGATCTTCAGGAATTCTGGAAGAATTCACCAAAAGGCAGAAAGAATATTTTTTTTGTTAAATGTTTGGTTAAGTAGGTGGTTTTATTTTTAACCACCCTAGCCAGAGAGGTGGGGACATGCAGGCTCCAACATGGTCATTTTTAAGAGCAAAGTAAAACTGATTTAACCGTTTTACTACTTCATATTTTTTATGAAAAGTAAAACATATCTAAAAAATGTCTTTCCAGTTGACAGAAAGCCAAGGTGGTAACTGTCATCTGTCAAGTAACTTCAGGAAAGGATGGGAAACAGGCACTTGTTTAGGATGGAAATGAAGATGTAGCTTTGATCTTTGTTGTTGACTTGCAGTAATCTCGGGCAGCCGAGTGTTCTTTTTAAGTGAGGGCTCACGTTTCCTCCTTTCAAAACAGAGTGTTTGTTGTAGGGAGCCCATCTTTGTGGTCAACAGGTATCTGAGGTTAATAAACGCAGAGGCTACGTTTCATGATGCCAAACCACAACGACATACCATAGAACATGATAAAAAAATATGTTTGACACAACCTATTATAGGAAAAATAAATCAGAGAGGCGTACACGTGGCCGATGGTAAGATGTGGAGTTTTCAGAACAACGTACAGATGAATGGCCCTGCAGGAAAATGGAAACCTGGCAAAAAAGTACATATCAGGAAATGCAGTCAAAGTTTGGGCACGTCGGAATGAAAGTGGTAGCAGTGATGCACCCATTCTTGCAAAGTTGCATCACTGGTCCCAAGTTTTGTTTTAGGCATCTGGCATACAGACAGATTCTCCTCCACGTGTGCGTCTGTCGTGGTTGCATCTCTAATACCATGTTGCGTCTCCCAGTGTAAAGCACGCTTAATAACAATAATAAACCTTCCGAAGAGAGCTAGCACATTCTTTTGACATTCGGCAGTGACTTGCGCTGGATCCAGGACTCGGTGGGTCAGCCCGTCTACTGAACAGCTGCTACTAGTGGGGGCTTTAGACTCGAAGTCACAGTTTTTCTTTGCTGCTGCTGATGCAAAATCAGAGGCTCTCGAGGCCGAGGAAACTGTTTGCATTCCTGTCCCATAATTTGGAGAAAGCAGGGCCTTGGAATGAGGGGCGTTTGAGAGATGGTCCCAGAATCCTACCAATGAAGGAAAGACTGGAGAAGAAACTGGGTGTGGAGCGGGATGTGCCTTTTTCCCTAACTCTGAATCAGGCACCGTGTGGCACGGAGAGAGAGGCGGGGCGGGGGGAGCAGGCAGACGGCCGCCGCCGTTGCAGGGAATGTCTAAGCCCTGGTGGTCAATGCGTGGTTCACGGCTCAGCAGCCTGGGCGTCGCCTGGGAGCGTCTCGGAGATTCAGAATCTCAGTTCCCGCCCCAGAGCCACGGAGTCGGAGCCCGTGGTTCACACGCCGTGCGGGAGTTTGTGTGCCCATTAAAATGAGAGATGCCCCGTCTGCTACCGTTCCTGGGGACATCCTCTATAAAGATGGACAGTCTGGGGTGGGTCCTCCAGGGTCCCTTTGCCGTGGCTTCGCAGGTCCCTGCTCTTAACCCTCGGGGGAAATAAGTGGGAAGGAAAGAGGCGGGAGGTCCACAATGATGATGGGCTCCGTCTGTCTTCTCTGCAATGTTTTTCGTGGTCGTTACGCAGGTTGTATTGGCATCGTCCGTTCAAGTCAGATTGCTTTCCTGCTTCGGTGAGAGGCAGGAGATTCAGTTCTTTTCATCTCTTTGTGAGTGATTGGTTTACCCCCCTGTAACACAGTTTAAATTCTGTAGATGGGTTTAGTGGCCCCGGTGCTGCTTCAAGAAGAAGGGGCTCTTGCGAGCAAAGGGTGGAGACCCGGGCACGCGGATGGTGAGTGAAAATTGATAGCACCCTCCGCACTGAGAAGTGTGAGATTTACTTGCACGTTTTAGGAGAGAGCGAGGTGGGAGGGCAGGCGGGCTGGCTTCGTGCTGCCGGTGAGAGGGTGGTGCGCCTCTTTTTTTTCTCTTGGGTCTTTGGGTCTTCTGGTCTTTGTGGTTTCGGGAGACAGAAACTTGCTTCTCCACGTGTCATAGAGAGCTTCCTTTTTATTAGCTGGTCAACAAGCAATTTCTCTTTTCTGCGTCCAGTCCAGTTCTACCAATAACATTTGATTCACTGGAAAGCAGTCCCGTTCCCAGGCCTGTGTACAAAACACACCAAACAGTGTCCTTTTTCCAGGGGCCGAGGATTGGCGGCTCACGGCCCATTTTGGCAGCAACATGATAAGATTAAAAATAGCCCCAAGATGATCCAGTCTTAAATAATCTATTTAATGATGAACTTTCCTTGGGAAAGTGCATCTGCCTGCTAACAACCACATGACCCCATTTCAACAATTCATTTTGTAGGGGGAAAAAAATACATGATTGCTCGTGGAGTTTGCAGTCATGTGCTGTTGAGTAATTATATTTCTGGACCTTTGTAAGATGTTATAGTTCGCTCCGTTCTCTTTTCTCTCCTTCAGGGCCGTGGTGGCTATTCCACGTCTGCTGAAAACACGGCTTGCTTACACGCCTCCTGTTACTTTCAGCTGCGCTTTCTAGTGAAAACTGATTGATCTTGTTAGCAATCCTTGGTTGGACTGGTACATTTCAGATTGCTTAAATGTCATTAGGCCACACAGCACACCCGGTAACAAAAAGCCACAGATTTGTTTTGTTTTGTTTTTTGTTTTTTTCAAGCCAGACTCTTACAGTTTTTCCTTATCTCTACTCCCAGTCCTAGCCGGCTTTTCGGAGGCATGATAAAGCACTCATAAAGCAAGTGTGTGGGTGCGGTTATTAAGAGTGGTCTCTCCCACTCAGCACACCCCACGCCCATTTCTGAGGTTGCCCGTCACCTCTCTGCCATCATGGAGCAAAGCAGGGTTTCAGCCGAGGCGCGCTCGTGCTAGAAACACAACACTGTCTTTGTAGTGCGCGGGTAGAAAGGTTTTTCCCCCAGAGATATATTGTATTTGAGGTTCAAAGGTTCTGTTAAACCTTTTTAAGGTAATCTAATATCACCGTATTCAGGTACAGCAGTAACCTCCAAAGCTGGTCACCCTTTCCTCCCCCGCTCCCTGCAGAGACCACTCGGTGACTTGCCTTCCTTGGGAAGCCTCTCTTTTTCATCCCTCTTGGTTTGATTCGAACAAAATTACTGAGACATCCACTGACGGTGAAAAGCAGCCAAGGACTGAGACAGTTGTTCGGCAGACGCGGTCACAAGGCTTCTGTGTGCCCCGGGCGAGTGGGGGGTGCAGGAAGGAAAGCTTTGCCCCTCTCCTGGGTGCCCTCACAGGCCCGTACTGGGTGATCGGTCCACTCGCGGTTGCCACGCAGCCCGCCGGGCACAATCCTCGACTTCGGAGGGAAAAGAAGAAAAGTCAGTGTATGCTCTTTTGCGCACACATCGGCCTTTGTCTGAGAAAG